TGTTTCAAAAGTCAACATGAAGAGTCACACTGCACAAGAAGTAGCCAGTGGTAACTGTTTTCTATGAGCAGCCTGCGAGAGCTCCAGGTTCTGGCGCCAAGCCCTGGGACACAGCACAGCCGACCTGAGGATAAACTGGTGCTGCCATCCCAGAGCTGTCCTGTGCCCCAAGCCCCAAACACCTGCACAGGTAATCCCAGAACGGTTTGAGTGGGAAGGGACCCTTAAAGCTCATCCACAGGCAGGGACACCTTCCACTGGAGCAGCTTGCTCCAAGCTCCTGTGTCCAACCTGGCCTTGAACACTGCCAGGGATGGGGCAGCCACAGCTTCTCTGGGCGCCCGGTGCCAGCGCCTCAGCACCCTCACAGGGAAGAGCTTCTGCCTAAGAGCTCATCTCAGTCTCCCCTCTGGCAGGTTCAAGCCATTCCCCTTGGCCTGTCCCTACATCCCTTGTCCCAAGCCCCTCTCCAGGTTTCCTGCAGCCCCTTCAGGCGCTAGAGCTGCTCTCAGGTCTCCCCTTCAGGAGCCTTCTCTTCTCCAGGCTGACCCAGCCCAGTTTTCTCAGCCTGGCTCCAGAGCAAAGGGGCTCCAGAGGGTGAATGGACCTGACTGAAACCTCAGTTCGTGCCCTACTCCTACTGCTTTTAGCTCACAGCACTTCACTATCCTTGGGGACATTTATGTCATTTTCTCAGCTCAGGGAAAAGCAGAATTTAGAGACTGTGTTTATGTGCATGTATTTTCACAGCTCTCTGTGCCACCGGGCTTCAAGCACAGATTAAACAATCCCTCAGGTGTCTACCGGAGACTCACAGCTCATCTGCAGCTGAACGGTAACACGTGGCCTCACCGCTCTATCAAACCGAGCTCTCCCACACTGACCCCTGTGCGCGCCCTGCAGGCCCCGGTCCCCTCCAGTCCGCGCGGGGAAACGGCTCGGTTTCCGGTCCTCTCCCCGGTCCGCTCCTCGGTATCCAATCAGCGCGCAGCTTCCTTCACCCACCTCCCACAGCGCGGACCAATCAGCGGGCGCGGTGCTGCTGTGCCAATCGGCGCGGAGCCGTTGGCGGGGATGGTGGAGAAGAGGGGGGGAAACCCCTGAGGCCGCCCCCGCCCCGCGCCCCCCTCACGGGCCGCCGCTCCCCCGCTCTCTGCACTCACCGGCGCTGCCGGTGCCGCGGCCTCCGCCTCGTCCGCTCGGCGCCCGCGCTGCCCCCGGCCCGGCTGGAGGGAGGAGGGGGGAGGGGGTCACGTCCGGAGCAGAGCGAGCGCCCAGTGGCCGCTAAACAAGATGGCGGTGGGTCCGTGAGGCGGTGGGGCGGAGGCTCCGCCCCTTTCCCCTGCGCGGCCGCAATGCGCAGGCGCATGACCCGCGGCTGATCTCGCGAGACTTACGGCGGGGCGGGAGCCGCCGGGGGCGGGGCGGGCCGGGCCGTGAGGCGGGTCCCGGAGCAGGGTCGGGTCCGCCGGGCTGGGCGCAGCGGGAGGGCCCCGCTGGGGCGCGGAGCGGAGGGGAGCGGGGCTGGGCTGGGCTGTGCCTCGGTGTCTCCGAATCCCCGGCTCCCCAGGCCCGTGCCCCTTGGTCTGGCGGTCGGAGCTCGGCCTCCCTCAGCCCAGCCCCGCGGGGGAGCTGCTTCTCCGTGAGCCGGGTCTCGGCTCTCCCGGCGGGCTCCGTGCCTGAGCGCTGTCCAGGCTGAGCTGTCCAACCCTCCTCGTCAGCCCCCAGGCTGTCATCGCATGGGAACGCTCTGCTCCCGTCCTGCCCGAGCTGGAGCCGCCTCAGGCTGCAGTCCCGCTCGTTCCCCAGGGACCGCACCCCGGCTCCGGGGCACGTTACACCGGAGCGTGACTCACGCTGCTCCAGTGCTTTTCCCATGAAAAAGCCCGTCCTGAGCAGCGGCTCCATCTTCACCTCCCTCCGGTCCTGCTGGTGCACAAACCTGGTGCGTCCAGTTTACAACTACAGCAAGGTTTTGCCTGTCAGGTGCTTTACACGTCATTTATATGGGGAAAAGGAAAGTTGTGTCCTGCTGCGCTACCCTCACCTTTCCACAAACTCAGCAGTATCTGCTGGTGGAGTTCCTGATGGGACAGAGAAAATCCCTGCTGCACCTTGTGAACAGGGCTCAGAGCAGTGATTTCTGCTGTGGGACATTTGCCCAAAGGCAGGAAACGGGACACATTTCTCCTCATGCTGTGGGTTTGGAGCTTGGCTGTGTTGGCACTGAAGCGGGAGAGATCTTGCAGCAAAGGCCTGCAGTTTTATCCAGAGTCTTGCAACTTTATGATCTCAGGGCACTTGCAAGCCAGCCAAGAGAAATAAAAGCTGTGCTGGAGCTGGGATGTTGTTTTCAATGCTAATTCTCACCGTGCCGGAGCCAGCCTGGTGATGGTGGTGCCGCTCCAGGGCGACGATACGTGAGGCCCCTCTTCAGAATGACTCATTTCTAAGTCAGTTACCCGGCACTGCTGCTGACTTTGCTGCTGGCCGCAGCTGTGAAACCCTCAGCTCTGACTCCTGCAGGATCCAGGCCCTGCTCGAGGGGGTCCTGCACAATTCCTCCACTCTCCTCCCGCTGAATCCCGCTGTGTGCCGCTGCTCCGCGCTGTGATCTCCCTGTCCCCCACCTGCGCTCTCGGCTGCAGTGATTCATTGTCTGGAGCCGCTCCGCTTCCCCAAGCAGGGTCACAGCCATCCTCAAGCACAGAGGGCTCTGTGTCAGCCTGCCCAGAACGGGGAGGAGCCAAGGAAAACAAGAAAGCGGGGAAAGAAAAGCACTTTTCCTGTCTGCTCTATCAGAGCTTGCACAGGTTTCTTTGTGGTTTGTTGCTTTCCTGGTACCTGCTGAGGGAATCCCTGCGGAGCTGCACCACAGCTCCAGGAGCTGCGCTGGCTGCGTCCCAGGGCCGCTTGTGGAAGGGTTGATGTTTGACTTTCAGAGCAGAGGGGGCGTGCCTGACCCCCCCTCCTCCTCGGCTCAAGCCCATCCTGTCCCTGGGACTCCGGTTACAGCCCATCCCTGGACTCATCCCAACCAAGCTGTTGCTTTGGCGCAAAGAAAAGTGTCAAAAGAAAAACCTTGGTATAAACGGTTTATGGGCATGCTGCTTTGTGGATTCTGGGGGGAAAGATGTTATTGAGAGCCAGATTTTGAGGCCTGTTAGTTTTTACCTTCTCTAGAGCCCCCAAATATCTGTTGTGCTCCCTGTTTCTCCCAGCCCAGCTCCAACTGGGGACCCATTCCCAGGAAAGCACCCACATCGTGCCGGCAGCAGGGAGCGGATGCAGCTCCCAGGAATGGGATTCAGTGCAGCTTGGTCAGTACCACTGCAGCAGGGTTTCCCAGGCAGGAGAGACCTGGAGAAACCTCTGCCAAACACATTGGGTTTACCCAGCCCCAGCATAAAACATGTTCTCCCCATAACCCTGCTCGAGGTGCAGCCCTCACCCCCCAGATACCCAGCCCAGATCCCTGGGGCCACCCCAGACCCCCAGGCACTTCTTCCCCCTCCTGTGTTCTGCTGCCCATCCCATCCACGTCTCACTGGGACAAGCAGCCACCACAGCACAGGCAGATGCTGGCCCATGAGGTCTGCAGAATCCCAGGGTCACCCCTGCAGGGACAGCAGGGTTTGGGGTCCTGTGACAGCCGGGCTTGCACCCACAGCCAGCACACTCACCCCTGTGCCACATGCTGCCGGTAGCACCGCAGCACCACCAATCCTCTTATGTGGGGCTTTACCAGGATAATCGCATTAAACCTTCCCTTTCGCCGGCACAAACCCAAGACGCGAAGGAGAAAGTGGTGAGGAGCTGACAGAGCAGAGAGCTGAGCTCCTTGATGGGTTGACATCAGAGGTGGGATCCCAGCACAAGACCAAGTCCGGGGCTTCTGTCCATCCCAGGGGATCAGTTCAAGCCACCAAGTCCCTCCCAGTGGGAGGTCAGTGAGGGATCCTGGAGCAACCTGCCAAGGGAAGCGGAGACCCAGAGCCGGTCAGAAAGTTCCCTACCAATCGAACTGAAAACTTTGTCATTCTTGTTTTATTATTGTCATAAACTTCACGTTTTACCACCAGAATGTGGCAGTTGAAAATGATGCATTAACAGGAAACACTTGTCTCTCCTGAGACACGTTTCGCTGTCTCTTGCCCCCAGATAGCCTGTTCCCAGGACTGACGCTTTCCCCACAGAGCTGGAAGTTTGCTCTGATGAACCAGCCTCCCCTACTGAGATATTTTCAGCTGCTTTTCCTAGCCATTCCTCCGAAGGCCCCTCAGACAACCTCTCTTCTCCTGACTTTGTTTATATGCTTTGACTTCTGTTAGGAAACCATCTCCCTACTTCAGCGAGGTTTTATCCAAGTTTCCATATTTAGTTCTTTCAGCTATTCCTGCTCTCTATCCAGCTTTCCCGTGCCCAGCACTTGGACCCGCCGCATCCTGGCTCTCCCCGGTGATCCCTTCCCTTCCCACAGCTGGACTTCCCTTTCCCATCCTCTCTGCACTGTGGGTGCCCATTGAGCACCCAACTCACCAACCCACCCTGGGGACACTGGCCCCGAACAGCCCAGGCCCTGACCCCACCACGGGGGCTCTGCCCATGGGGACCGGGTGGTTCCCTGCACGGGTGGGCCCGCGGCACGATGAGGATGGGAGCCCATCGCTGGGGAATCCAAGCCCAGAGGTGGTTTAGGGAGGGACAGAGTTAAAGGCAGTGAAGGAGGATTTCCTCCCAGCACGTGGCTCCTTGTCAGCCTCAGAGGCAAGACAGGGAAAGCGCTGGAGGAATTTACCACGAGTGAAGAGATGCTGCTGAGAGGGAAAGGAGTGTTTGTGTGCGGGGAGCCAAGGTGAGTCCAAGGGCAGCGGGAGAACTGGGGCTGCCTCTGCTCCAACTTCTTCCTTCAGAAGGAGCCAGGGCCACCCTCTGCTCCAGTGGCAGCTGAAGGGGCCGGAGGTGGCAGGTTCCTGTGTTCCCAAAGGAGCAGGAGCTGAGCAGGGACCGGCAGCAGCGCTTCAGGCCTGGCTGGGGGCTCCCGCTGCCCTGTGGACAGCCTTGGGGTCCGGGTGATGGGCCTTGGGTCCGGTCAGCAGCTCTTGGGGTCCAGTTGGTGGGAGAAGGGTCAGGGTGGCAGCTCGTGGAGTCCAGCTGATGGGTGCAGTGTCTGGCCGGCTCCTGGGGTCTGGCCCATGGCCGTGAGGTGCAGCTCTTGGTGTCTGTTTGATGGGCTCAGGGTGAAGCTGGAGGCTCGGGGGTGCGCCTGGCAGGTGCAGGCTGCAGCCGCCAGCCCTCGGGATGCACTGATGGCTGCGCTGTCCGGACCTTGGCTTTGGGGTCGAGCTGGCAGCTCCTGGTGTGCCCCTGCGGGAGCGGGTGCAGGCGGCAGCCCCCGGCCGCGCTCTCGGGGGGACGCCGGCCCCTCTCCGCCGTCGCCCGTCGGGGCCGGGCCCGGGGCTCCCCCGCCCGCCGCTCCCAGCAGCCCGCCGGGGCCGAGGGGAGGAGCGGGCACGGGCGGCGGCGGCGGCAGCGGTGAGTGAGTGCCCGCGGCGGCGGAGCGGGGTTGGCGCTCCCGGAGCCCGGCGCGGCCGCGGCACCGGCTGGGTCCGGCGGGGAGCGGGGCCGCACCTGCCCCGAGCATCCCCCGGGAGCGGGGGAGGAGGCGATTCCGGGGATGCCGTCGCGGCTGCGGTACCACGAGGAGCGGGATGGGAGCGCCGGGGATCGGGGGGGGGCGAGGGAACCCGACCCCCGGTGGGACAGCCCCGGTGCTCCCGCTGCACCCCACGGCTGCGGGCAGGGCGCACCCGGGACCCCTAAAACACTCCCCAGGCTGCAGCCGGGACGGGAACACCCCCAGAACATCACTGCACTGCGAGCATGGGGGCTGCGGCTGCGCTCCCCCAGTCCCCAAGGGCTCCCCGGTTGGGTGCTGCCGGGGCCGGTTCACCGCCCCCCCCTCCCGGCTCGGGGCAGCGATTCCCAGGCAGCGGCTCGGGAACGGGAGCTCTTTCCCGTGCCATCCATCATCCCCGCTGAAAGCCCTTTGACGTCAACCCCGTCCCGTGCACGCTGGGGAACCGGGGGTCGGAACCGGTGAAACGGGGGGGTCCTGCTTTGGGGAAGTGGCACCGAGCAGCCAGCGCTCACCTCTCCAGCCGGTGGTTTCGGCCACGGCTTTGGCTCGGCTTGGTCCATGATCCATGATGCTTCGGGCAGGTGCTGTAGGGAAATCCAGGACAGAACTGGTGAGGAGGAGTGAAACGATGCCCTGGGATGGGCAGAGGGGCTGCGCTGCTCCCTGCATACTACAGCCGGGGCTATTACAGTGGGTGGGGAGAAGCCTGAGAGCAGCGTGGGCATCGCTTATTCCAGCTGTAGGGAAGCACTGGGGTGGGCATGGGCCTGGCCAGCCACAACAGTCCCTAAAGCCAGGGCCACTCGTGGGTGCTCACGTTGAGCTGCAGAGGTGTCCCCGTGGGAAGTGGTGGCCGTGCTGGGCTCTGTGATGGCCAGTGCCTGCTCCTGGGGGTCCCGGCAGGACAGCGAGCAGCCCTTGGAGGCTGAGCAAAGCCCTTGGCCCTGGGCTGAGTCGCATCACTTGGTGCACAGGGAACATCCCGTGGGGCTGTGCTGCTCATTGCCTTAATGTGCTGAGAGCAGGAGCCTGCAGGACCCCTAGGGCCACAGCACGAGGATGGGCTTTGCTTGTGGGCCGTCCCTGCACTGTGGGACGCGGGGCTGCCTGCCCAAACAGTGCCCGAGCCAGGTAGGGGCTGCTCCCACGCCTCTTGTCAGGCCCCAGCTCAAACATGTCCCTGTTTCCCCCTACAGCAGCACCCCTCGGAAGCCAGCCCTTGTGCTGTGCTCACATCTCTCCTGAAGAGCGCTGTACATGCTCCAGCACCCTTTGTGAGGGCAAACTCCTGCCACCTCCCATGTCCCAGGTGCTCCTCTCTGCAGTCACAGCGCTCCCAGGCTCGTTTCATCCCCATTTTCAGCCCCATCCTCACAGCACCGGTCACAATAACCTTTACGGGATATGGACAGGGGATGATGAGATCACAGCATCTTGGTCTGCTTCTTCCATGGCTCCTTGCATCCCAAGGCAAGGGGCAAATCCCCCCCCAGTTTCCCCACATAGTCCAGCTTCATCCTCCCACAGGTTCTGCTGCCCCTCAAGCTGAGCCAACCGGTGCCACCGAGCCCTCCACCGGCTCTCTGCTGCTCTCACTGCAGCACAGCCTACGGGAAGCATCACACTGATGTAAGAGACACTTTAAAGTTAGGAAAATGCCTAATTTTCCTGCCTGTGAAGCCCAGGCCGTGTGGCACAGTCTCCTCGCATCCATTTCAACTCACTCCAAATGTTCTGTCACAGCACCTCAAATAGCAGGAAACAGGCTGCTGTAGTAATGACTTGAAAGTGCTTCCGTGCAGGATTGACAGCCCTGCTGCCACTGTGCTCACTGCCTGCCAGGCCCACGGCTCCCAGTGCTGGACCATGGTGGGAGCCTCCCGGCTCCTCACCCTTCCTGCAGACAAAGGAACTCCAGAGCTGGAGTCCTCAGCCTGCATGTGGGGACTTGCACCTATTTTAGTTGTTGGGTGGTGAGTGACGCGCTCCAGGGTCCCATCATCCCATCCTGCTGCTCTGCCAGGGATGTGGGTGCCGGTGCTGCTCCAGCCACGGGCAGTGCCAGGCTCCCGCTGTCTCTTGGCATCGCTCCGGCTCACAGAAGCCTTCCCACAGCAAGTTTTCTGCTTAAGAAGCTTTGCTGGAATAGTGCTGTCTTAGCATTTAAAAAGCAACTTTTTCTGCAAACAGCCTGGTCCACCCTGACTCCCACTGGGAGCAAGCTGGGACCTGCGGCTGGACGTGTGCTGGGCAGCGCAATTGGACCTGGTCAGGCAGAGTCAGGGCTGCTGGCACCAAGCTACGATGGGGCCACATTTATCATCCTGTGATGGACGTGCAGCTGGGGAGATGGAGGGTGGTGGTGGTTTCAGTCACCCATTCTGGAGCTGCAGGTCCTGGGTGCCTGCAGTGTTGGGCACCTCTGCTGCGGGCAGGCTCCAGTGACCACAGTGCCTTAATGGGACCCCGAAAGGACCCCAGAGCTCTCAACCCCTGAAAGGTGAAGAGAGATTTGCAGGTGCAGAAAGGGGAGGGAAAGAGGGGGCTGGTGGAAGGAGAGTGGATGCTCTCTCCAAGAGGAGGATGCCGGTAGGAGCAGTGGAAAGCAGGAGCTGACAGCAGCCGTTCCCCTGGAGGAAGCAGCTCCATGCAATATTGATGGGATTCACACACACAGACAAGCTGTGTGAGCTGCATTGCAGAGCTTGGAGCCGTGCAGCCGGGAAGGCAGCAGCTGCTGGGAAACGGGAAGAGCTCCTTCCCACAGCCCCTCCGTGCTGGGGAGAGCTGCACCAGCCCCAGCGTGGCAGTGCAGGGCAGGCACGAGGCTGAGCCCAGGAGATCCCATCCCTGGTCCATACTGGGGGGCACCAATGGCCCTGGGCTGGTTTCCTACGTCCCCACTGCCTCCCCATGGAAGTGGCCCAGTTCTCAGGGCCGCACGCCTGCAGCATCGCGCTACCCAAGGCTGCTGCTGGTGGTGGCCATGTGCCTGCTCGGGCACGTCCCCAGCAAGGTTCTGCTCCCTCCCAAGCTCCGCATCATGGCCAGAACCAGCACCAGGGTGCAGCCAACACAGAGGCACCGAGCTCTGCCCTGCAGGAGCCTGTCCCTGCCACGTGCCTGTGGGATGGGGCTGGACAACCAGGGATGTGCCAGTGCTTGCTTCAGTGCCATGAGCCCTCGTTGCCAGACAGGTGACCTGGCAGAGCTGCCCGTCCCTCGCCGCAGATTTTGCTTGGTGGCTTTTGCTCCTCTGATGCTTTTTCGTTGCCTTGGAAACGATGGGATTCGGTGCAGATCTGATTTAACCGGGCGGCAGACGTCACACAGGGAAAGGGACGGTGTCAGGGACATAGTCGTGGGCGTCTCAGAGGCCCCAGGATCAGGCCACCAGGCAGGGGCACGTGTGTGCCACCAGCTCCCATATCCATCCTCCCACCCGGTGAAAGATGGCCACGAGGTGGGTGCAGGAAGGTGCCCTGTTCCTGCCTGTCCTGCCTGGAGGGACTCAGTTCCCTGTCCCACTGCTCCCGGATGGAGCCAGGAGCATCACTGCAGCTGGAGTGGAGGTGACAATGAGTTACCGTGGCCAAGATGCATCTGGACACAGTAGGGATGAGGAGGACACCTGCTCCTGCATGGGACAGTTGGTTCTTCTGTGGCATCGAGGTGCTGGAGATGCGCACACAGGGCTGCAGCTCCGGTGGTCCTTGCTCTGGGTCCCAGTGGTGCTCCCAGTCCATCCTATGCCCAGGAGCAGTGCAGGGGAGAGCAGCTGGAGCAGAAAGGCTGCTCAGACCTGACCTGCTCCTGGGCTTGAGGAGCACCATCCCACTGCTTATCCTGGAAGAGAGGTGATGCATTGCTTGTGTTGCTGGAGGAGCTGCTCGCCATGAAGCCATCTCTCAGCCCTTAGGGACACCCACAGGCCACAACATCAGACCCTGTCACTACATCCCACCAGCAGGTCTAGGGGGAGGAACCAAGCTCTTCAACCACAGCAGCACTTCCCATGCCAGTGGATATCATCCAGCTGCCTCAGACACACCGCTAAGCTCCTCTTTTCCTACAGATGGAGCCTATTTGGACCCATCCTTTCCACAGAGGTTGTGCAGGAACTTTAGTGTTGTGTCTGCAGCAAGCGTCAGCCAGAATCACTGCTATAACCTGCCTGAGCAATGAGATGCTCAGCTCCAGTAGCTGGAGTTGCAAGTTCTCAGCTCACGTGCCCTGATTTATACCTCTTGCTGGGCAATTAAATCTCTATGAGCAGCTGCCTATCAAACCTGGAGCAATTAATGAGCATTAAGTACTTTTAGGGAAATAACCCCTTGCTTTACTTGCTAATATCAAGGAGGAACACATGCTTGTGAGCAGTGCTGCTGCTTGCCCAGGGTGCTGTGCCCTGCTCAGGACTGGCAGGCCCCACAGCAGCAGCCATAGGGAGCTTCTCTTCCCCCCAAACCGATGATTTTAGGTCCTACCTGCTCCAGATGTCAGCAGCATTGCAGTGCTCTCCCTCCCTGCTGGAGGCTGCCCCGCTGCTGGGGCTTTTAGACCCCATCTCTGCGTGGGAACACTGACCTGGAGGGCTTTGAGGGAGCACAGAGCTCCCAAACTCCCTCTGCCTCCTTCCCCTGCAAGCCACCAGCTCAACCAGCCCCACCATTCTCATTTATCACCTCATCCTCCTCCTCAACCCACCTGTGTGTGGGCTCCCGCTGGGCTCCTCCCTCCTTCCCCAGGGCCTTTGCCAAAACACCCGATTTTTTGTAGAATCATGGAATGGTTTGGGTTGAAGGAACCTCAAAGCCCATCCAACTCCAACCCCTGCCACAGGCAGGGACCCCTTCCACTGGAGCAGCTTGCTCCAAGCCCCTGTGTCCAACCTGGCCTTGAGCACTGCCAGGGATGGGGCAGCCACAGCTTCTCTGGGCACCCTGTGCCAGCGCCTCAGCACCCTCACAAGGAAGAGCTTCTGCTTTATCTCTAACCTTCCCCTGTTTCAGTTTGAACTCGTTACCCCTTGTCCTGTCACTCCAGTCCCTGATGAAGAGTCCATCCCCAGGATCCCTATAGCCCCCTTCAGACACTGGAAGCTGCTCTAAGGTCTCTACGCAGCTTGTCTTCTCCAGGCTGAACAGCCCCAGTGTTCTCAGCCTGGCTCCATACGGGAGGTGCTCCAGCCCCTGAGCATCCTCATGGCTTCCTCTGGACTTGCTCCAATAGCTCCATGTCCTTCTTATGTTGAAGACACCAGAACTGCACCCCTTGCTGCAAGTGGGGTCTCATGAGAGCAGAGCAGAGGGGCAGGATCACCCCCTTCAACCTGCTGGTCACCCTCCTTTTGATGCAGCCCAGGATATGGTTGGTTTCTGGGCTCAAGCACGCACTGAAGCCAGCTCATGCTCAGTTTCCCATCAATCAACACCTCCAAGTCCTTCTTCTCAGGCTGCTCGTTACTGGTCTCCAGTTTTCCCATCAATACTTTGCCCCTCATGTCTATTTCAGTGGGACATTTGGGGCTCTTACAGCCCTGCATTGTTGCTCACTACACGCAGCTGCAGAGGCCCTCCAGTCACTGGAATGCACCAGTCCCTGGGGTCCCCTGTGACCCCCAACCCTCCATGTCCTGCTCCCCACTTTTCCCAGCCCCACCATCACCCGGCAGGTCCATGTTGTCCAGTTGGAGGGACCCAGCAGGGTCATTGGGCACCCAAAGCCCTGCACAGGGATGTCCCCAGCCCGGGCGAGGTGCATCCCACCCCGCTGGACCCCTCTGCCCGTGCTGGGGCCAGGAGGAGAACTGGGTCAGGGATGTAACCATGGAGATGCTGGAGGAGATGCTGGAGGAGATGCTGAAGCAGCGGCACAGCCCCGCTCTCCGGAACCCTTTAAAGATTAACCAGCCCCGTCACCTCCGTCTCCGGCCGGGGATGGGTTCTGGAGCTGAGCCTCGGCGGGGACAGCGCTGCCCGCTCCTCCCGCACGGCCGCAGGGCGGTAAGGTGCCTCCCTCCCCTTTGCCTTTGAGTGCCGGTGTGGGGAGGGCAGGGTCCAGCCCCGGCCGCCTCCAGGGGCTCGGGGGCCGCAGCAGCGATTGCAGTGCAACAGGGAGCACGTTTTGCTGCCGGTTGTGCACCGGCGCCAGGCGCTGGCTGCGGGCAGGGGGGGATGCTACAGCCATGACAGCGCTGCTGGGTGCTCCCGGCGGCTCCGTGCATCCCACCCCCATCCCGGCCCGCTCCGGAGCCGGGCCCGGCTCGCTGGGGACCGCGGTGCTCGGGGCCGTGTCCCGGGAGGACGGTGCGCGGTTTCGGTAAGCGCCGGTGGCTCGGGATGCGTGTCCGTGGTGGGGAAGGAGGGGACGTGCATGAGAGCCCGCTGCCGCGGGAGCCGCGCGGCCGCGCCGAGAGCCCCGGTGTCGTGCAATATAGAGATAAATAAAATAGAGAGCCGGGGTGATGGGAAGCGGGTGGATTCCCTGGATCCCCCACCCGCTGCTGGGGCAGGGAGCAGGGGCAGCCCTAGGATGGCTGTGCCAGCCGGGAATGCTGTTGCGGTGCCGAGGCCGGCTCGGTGCTGGGAGCCACGGGCTCTGGTGCTTGGGCACGGTCTTGGCCAAGCTCATCCCGGCAGCGAGCGCTGGCACCTCCTTGATCTCCCCATCCTGCACCCACCAGCAGCAGGTTGTGGTGGGAGAATAGGCGGTAAAACCATGGGCATGGGAAAGAGCATCCTGTGGGTTGAGGAGCGTGAGGGCCGCATCCTTTGCGGTGGCTTATCCGTGCGTGTGATGCATTGGAAATGATCCCATTAGCGCTCCGCTCTCCTCATCTAATTTGCTTCCACCAGAGCCCGGTGCTCTCCTGGCAGCTGAAGCGCCAGAGGGGAAAACAGCAGCAGGAGCCCTTTGTGTTTCCTGGCCGGGGCTGGGCTGTGCCGCAGCTTTCCTTGCTGGAACACCGCTTGGGGAGGCCTGAGCCAGGTGCTGCACCCGCCGGGCCCCATGCAAAGGGCTGCGTGTTTCCTTAGGCACTGCCTAACGCCAGGCTTGCAGGTGGGGAAACTGAGGCACGGGGTAGGGAAGAGGCGTGGAACATGGGGAGCGCTGAGCTGTGCTTGGGGCAGCGGGTGGGATCCATTCCCTGCAGCAGGAGCTTCCTAGAGAAAATCCCCCCTTGTGAGGGGCTGCAGCAGGTTTGGAGCCCGGAGGGGGCTGGAGAGTGGCCCTGGGCATCAGAAAATGCTCATCCCAAAGGGCCTGGTTCTTCCTCGAGCAGGCGCTGAGCACAGGACAAGTGCTGCTGGCTGCTCTCGCCTGGCCCCGCTGGCCATGGGCACACGCTGTGTGGGATGGCTCCAAGCGGGCGCTTGGCCCTCAGCAACGGCTTTGTCCAAAGGGCCCAAACCCTCGGGGCAGAGCTTGTTCAGCAGCAAATGGAACGTGTGCACAGGAGGGGAGCGTGTGCTGCTGCTGGGGGCACCCCAAATCCCACTGGATCGATCCGGGGTCCTACTCAGCACCGAGCACCAACGGGGATGAGGAATGGAAGCGGCGCCTGAAGGAGCCTGGGCAGAGAGGGAGAGAAAACACCAACCAGGAGGGAAACGTGGGCTGGGTGCTGCTCTCTGGGAGCCCATCAATGATGGCAATGACTGATTACTAATTGCCCCTGTTACATCCGTCCTGTAACTGATAAATCCATGAGCTCAACAGTGCTGGAGCTGAGCCCACGGCTCCCCTCAGGGACTGTGCCCCTGTGAAGCTCCTTTTCTGGGTGGCAAGGGGCAGCAGAAGCCCCCTCCTTGCCCTGCTCCCCCATTCCCATCACTCATCCCTGCATTCGCAGCCATCTCTCTTGAAAGAGAAATGTTTTTCCAGGCGCTGCCTCCATCCATTATCATAAACTGGCTTCACTTGGCCTGGAGTTAATAATTCACCTTTCTTCAGAAGATGGATGCTCCCCTCCCACTGGAGTTTAAATATTCATGGAGAAGGGAAGGCAGCAGCTGCGGGAGGTCTGGCTGTACCTGAGCCTCAACGTCCCCTCCTTCCTCTGCTCACCGGGCATCACGGGCTGATGGGGGTTCCTGCACCCATGGGTGGGGAAAAATGGTCCCAATGGGTCGTGATGCCGGAATTCCATGGCTTTGTCCCCCCCTGTCTCCCCCGCAGCTGATCCCTGCCAGTGGCTGACCATGTTCAACGGGGATGCGGCCGCCGGCGTGGGCAGGAGCGTGGTGCGCAGCTCCAGCATCAGCGGCGAGATGTACAGCGCCGAGAAGAGCGCGCGCGGCAGCGCCGACGCCGGCACCGCTGGCACCACCAGCAAGAAGCGGCGCTCCAGCCTCGGCGCCAAGATGGTGGCCATCGTGGGGCTGTCCCAGTGGAGCAAGAGCACGCTGCAGCTGAACCAGACCGGTGAGCGCTGCCCCCCCCGCCCCGGGCCCCTCAGCCCCTGGCACAGTCCCGGCTGCCCAGAGCTACCATGGAACCAACTGGGCCGGGAAGACCTTTAAGGTCAAGTCCAACCCTTGCCCCAGCACTGCCAAGGCCACCACTAACCCATGGCGCTGAGGGCATCATCTACACAGTGTGTGGACACTTGCACGCTCTGTGTCTGATGAAGGCACCTAAACTTGCCCGTTGGAACCCCTTCCCTGGCACACCAGCACTTCTCCAGGTGCCAAAACCATTTGCAGACCTGAGGTGGGGAGGTTGTCTGGTCTGGCCTCAGCTCCCCCTCCTCCCGGTAACAGCCATTCCTGGCCACAGGCACGGAGGGATCTCGGAGAAAGGACTTGTCAAACAGCCTGGCTCTGGGAAACATTTAAGTGCTTAAAATAGCTTTTTAAAGGGCGCGGGAAGCGAAAGCTCAGTTTAGTGCCGGCTTTTCCTCTTCTGCTTTGTTATTCCCCTTCTTGTTGGCATTTTGTGATTGGGAAATGTCCTATAAAGAGAGGAGGTAAAATCTGGAGCCCTCCAGCCTTGCACGTCCAAGGTGCTTCTGAAGGGGTATCATTGTCCCCCAAACCCAAGCAAGAAGTGATGGAGCCAGGCAGGACCCAGGGAGGGCAGAGCCGGGAGGCCCCTGCTGTGGGTACCCAGAGGAGCAGCACCCACTCTGGGGGGGCTCCCAGGACCAGAAAATCACTTCCACGGGGGCAGCCCTGAATGTGGAGACAAACCCGCCTGCCCCAGAGCACCACGGCACCGGCACACACAGGCTCACACGGCAAGAGTTGGGGCTGCCGGCGGTGCCAGGGGGGATGCTCGTGCCACACTCCTCCTCCTGCCATCTGCCACCGCGTGGGACGTGCGGCATTGGGGACAATGTGTCTGCGGGAGAAAGGGAGACATCAGTGTTGGGGCTGTGCCTGCTTCTGGCTTTGAGGGTGCCGGTCCCCACTGGCACAGGGACATGGGCACACGTTGATGGGGCTGCTGGAGGCCAGGCGGTGAGATGCAGTGGGCTGTACCAGGGAGCAGCACACGGGGATGCTCTGGCCATACACAGTGCTCCGGTTCTTGTGCCTGCTTTGATGGGTCTGGGTGCAGCCGGCGCTGCCCAGGCTCACCCCTGCCTTGATTCCAGAGGGTGGTCCCAAAAAGCTGCGCAGCAACATCCGGAGGAGCACGGAGACTGGCATTGCGGTGGAGATGAGGACCAGGATCACCCGGCAGGGCAGCCGGGAGTCCACCGACGGCAGCACCAACAGCAACAGCTCCGACGGCACGTAAGGCACCGCGGGGTGACAGGGGCTGGGGATCCCACTGCAGCCCCGGCTGCCCGACGCTCCATGAATCCCTCTGCTCTCCCTGGCACAGGTTCATCTTCCCCACGACCCGGCTGGGTGCCGAGAGCCAGTTCAGTGACTTCCTGGATGGGCTGGGGCCGGGCCAGCTGGTGGGACGGCAGACACTGGCCACGCCACCCATGGGTGAGCCAAGGGGTCCCAAATCCAGCCCCACGGAGCTGGGCAGTGCATGAGGATGCTCCAGTGAGGGGGAGCAAAGTGGCTGGTGGGATGTGACCATGGGGGTGGGTGCCGAATGCGTCTTGTCCCTCCTCCTAGGCGATGTCCACGTTGGCATGGCTGACCGCAACGGGCAGCTGGAGGTGGAGGTGATCCAGGCAAGGGGACTTATCCCGAAGATGGGCTCCAAGTCCATCCCTGGTAGGTGCATGGGAAGGGAGTGGGTGCGGGATGGAGGGGGAATGATGGGGACGGGATCAGTGCTGGGACCACACCGGAGCCTGCTCTCAGCTGGTGTCTGTCACCCGTTTCCCCATGCAGCCACCTACGTCAAGGTTTACCTGCTGGAGAACGGCATCTGCCTGGCCAAGAAGAAGACCAAGGTGGTGAAGAAGACCTGCGACCCCTCGTACCAGCAGCCTCTGCTCTTTGAGGAGAGCCCCCAGGGCAAAGTCCTGCAGGTGATGAACTCCCCCCGCACAGCTCCCTGGGGGGGGGGGGGGTATGAGGCAAGGGCAGGGTGTAGGAACCCAGCATCCTCATTGCTGTTCTTCAGCCTCCCTGCTCCCATCATGGCCGGTCCTTCATGCTTGGACATGCCGAGTTTGCCAAGATTTCCTCAAAATCCCCACCCGCTGAGCAGTGCCCCCAATGCCTTCTCTGCCCCACAGGTGATCGTCTGGGGAGATTATGGGCGCATGGACCACAAGTGCTTCATGGGGATGGCGCAGATCATCCTGGAGGAGCTGGATCTCTCCAGCGCAGTCGTGGGCTGGTACAAACTCTTCCCCACCTCCTCGCTGGCTGACCCCAGCATTGGTCCCCTGACGCGCCGCCTCTCCCAGTCCTCCCTGGAGAGCTCCACCAGCCCCTCCTGCCCATAGGGGCCGGTTGGTGGGGGAGGCTGGGAGGGGAAGGGAGCCCCTGCCCCAGCAGAACTGTCACTGGATGCTGTAAATATCCTGGTCCTCCCCCACCCTTTTTCTTTCTCTCTTTTCCACCCTCCCTCCCTGCTCCCCACACGCTCCTCCCTGAGCACATCCCGGGATGTTGGAGATGGCCGAGGGCCGAGCGCTTTGAGGCAGGGGGAAGGAGAAGCAAACCCCCCCCTCCATGATGCAGACCAAGGGCTGCGGCTGCTGTCCCATCCCAGGACTGTTCCTGCACCTCCTCCCGTTGGGCAGGACTCAGAGCGATGTGGTTCTGTCCTGCCCACCCGGCGGGAGCATCTCGGGCCGCTCCATCCAGCGCTGCTGGAGCAGTGCAGTGATGGGGTTTCTTTTCCCTGGATTCCATTCCCTGCCTCGGAGGCAAAGCTCTTCAAAGAGGAAAACAAGCACTCGGAAAGAAATCCAACTCAGCACTACTTTTGTTTTCCAAGGAATGTAGCATCTTCTATTATGTAGCTTGCCACGTGCTGACACACACTCACTTCTCTGCAATATCCAAGAGGCTCCGGACTGACCGGACACATCTGCCAGTCACTTCCCATTTGTTGGTTTTCTGACATGAATCCCACGACACGAACAAGCACTTCTGTGGCCACTTTGCTTTATTTCTGATTGTTTTGTTTCTGGTAGTAGCATGTAGCCTGTGACCAGTGACATTGCCAAAGCAAGAGAGAAGAGAAGGTGCACTCACCTCACCTGAGCACACGCTGGTTTTCTCCTCGTGTTTCTCCACTGACCCTGGTCTTGTACGGCCAAAGCAAGACCTAAACTGCAAACTCTGCAATGCCTCACGTGAAAATTCGAGTCAGGAGAAGGTGACCCAATGGAGCAGGAGCTCTGTGATGTGGTCTATCGCCTGCCTCCCAGCCCCTTCCTCCTGTGAGGTCTGGGATGCTGTCGCTGGGTCCAGGATGTTCTCCTTGGCTCTGGGATGCTCCTCTTGGGTCCAGGATGCCCTCCTCAATACTTGAATTCCAAGTAGGAGCTGAGGGTTTACCAGACCCTGGAGCCAGCCCTTTCTCTAACTCTCAACTTGTTGGTACACTACAGGGGAACATCTCAACAGCATCTTCTGCTGATCTGGAATTAGGGTGACTGAGAGGTTACGAACAAAGGACTGGATGCTTGGAACCTGTGATCAGGATGAGTGTTTGGGGTTCTTTCTGTTTGTATGTTTTGTTTGTTTGTTTTTAAGCAGCATTTTGGTTCCCTCCACGGGACCGGTTCTTGTAGCAAAACCGAGAATTCCGGAAGCTTTTTTTGAAGGTGCCTATGAAATTTGCTGAAAATACTCAGGGGAGACACCACTAAAAACTCTGGTTTCTTCATAAAATACCCTTAACGCAAGGACTGGCCTGAAGGATCAGTTTCCAGAAGAGAAAAAACCCAGCACACCAAAAGAGGAGCGGTCCCGAGACTGGAAGAGGACAAAAGGTTAACGGGGAATTTCTGCCACGCCGATGGCTCTGACCTTCAGCCTTTACCACGGCTCAGCCCTCAGCACAGCTGGGATTTTGTACAGTTCTCTACTGGCGAAGTGGAGGGTTTCCAATGCACAGAGCACAACAACCCCAGCCCGTGGTTCTGGTGCCACCAGGGCCCAGGAACCAGCTCGAACCCGTGGCCACAATGGAACAAAACCAAACCTGAAGGGAAGGACTGTTGTGATGGAGGTGATGGAGCCGTCCCCTCTGCAAACCCAGCCTGGGTCGGCGGAACGCCGCGGCTCAGTGCCTGGTTTACCCAACCCCACCACAGGGTCAAGCGGCTGTCGTGGACTTTGGGTCTTTACCAGCTCAAAATCACTGCAGGCCTCTGAGGAGAGAGGAGGTTGGATGCTGCTGACGGGGGGGATGGAGAGGGGTCAGCTTCAGGCTCCCAGCAGATTCAGTCCTCGTCTGCTCGGAGCAGGGCGCCCGGATTGCTGAGCTCTGAGGCACGGGACCGCGGGATGCACCAACAGCCCCGAGTGCTTTGAGGAAGCAAACTCGGTGCCCTGACGACTGCAACGGGAACAAACAAAGGACTGAACACGACGTTCCTGCCAGAGCACGAAGCAGCTACATGAGGTCAACAGTGCCTGGATGAGGCTAAACCCTCTCTGCCCTGGCATGCTGGGTTTTGAATCTATGTGAGGGAAGGCATCCTAAGAGGCAAAGCTTTCTGCTCTTCAAGTTAATGGTATTGCTTTTGCTTTACCAACTCTATTCCAGTGGAAAAACCCACCTGGGGCAGGATAACGACCATGTCCTGCAGAAGGGGAACAGCACCATGGGCAGAGCAGTGAGCTCTGCCGGTATTTTCTGCTCACTGGCATGGATGCAGCATCCCTTCCCCTTCCACTCAGAGCTCACTGCCTGGGAATCCCTCCAGCGAGCTGCAGAGCTTTAGTGCTCCTCTCTCAGCAAGCAGCATAGAATAATGGAATGGTTTGGGTTGGAAGGGACCTTCCAGTTCCAACTCATCCAGCTCCAACCCCTGCCTTGGGCAGGGACACCTTCCACTAGAGCAGCTTGCTCCATACATGATGCTCTTCTGGAGACACATAACAGAAACAGATGAAGAGCAGCAGGAACAGGAGGTGCCTGAGGTCCAGCAAAAGGCTCACTGGTTCTGCACCAGCTGGAAAACCTGCCCTTGCTGGAACATGGAAAATCCGTGGGAAAGAACATTCTGGAAAACACACCAGGGAAACCCCAATACTTTGGCTTCTGTTCCACCATGGACGCAGTGAGGATGCACTGGAGGGTGACAGCGCAGCTCAGCAGAACAACCTGGGCCCTGGCTCGCTTTCAGTGCTGAGTCCTCGCTTGCTGCAGTGTGATGGGTTCATGGGAACAGCAACTCCTGCTCATGGAGAGGCTGCCCAGGTGGGGCTTCCGTGCCAGCGGCTTCACGATTGTCACTCACGAGACTGAAGCCCATCAAGACCTTCAGTTCTTCACCTCCAGCATCCGGTCCCCTGGGAGCTGCAGCCCTCTCTCTTTGCTGGAGAAGCCCCTTGCACTGGTGTGTTAGAACTGAGATGGGGCGAGCCTGTCCATGTCCCCACATCGGCTCTTCCCGGTCCTCAATCCCCAGGCCACGCGTCAGATGCTCTCCCTCCCCGAAAGAACACAAAGCCTGGATGCGCGGTTGCTTCCTACATGGACACAGCAGAAATCCCGCAAGCTGCCGGACCTCAGGTTGTTTCCTGGGGGATTTTATTGCAAAGGGCATTTTTTAGTGGTCTCGGATTTGCAGACGGCGGCTGCACTGACTAGGGGGGAGGCATTAGGTTATCCCCTCTCTTTTGTCCATCATGAAGGGAAATTCAAACCATTTGTCTTTCCAGATGTTTTGCCCTAGAAAGAGTAATTCACATTGAACTGACTCAGCTTTGCAGCCTGTTCTATACCCAGCACCAAGTGAGGAGCAAGCAGCACTCACCTGAGACAAGACCTTACCATAGCACAGCTGACAGGAGATGCTGGTGTCAGAATCAAGGCACCCAACTTGAGTAATAAGGATGGATTTTGCCAAAACTGCCTTGAAATGATACTTAAACATCCCTTAAATGCTAGAAACAAGAAATCACAGCCACACAGCAAAGCACAGAGAGCACTACGGGATTTCATGCCCAGGCCTGAGTTATTCCTGGGTTTTCTACAAGCCCAGAACGGGCTTCATTTGCCAAAGCTGAGTGAAAATTTTCTGGGACATCAGCTGTGGGCTCAGAAATCAGCTCCTCTTCCACCAGTGTCACTGCACATTGCAAGCACAGGGGGAGGACGCTCAGACATCGGGTTCCTGACATCCAGTGAGACCTGACCCAGCTCTCGGCCAGCAGTGACAAAACCAACCGCAGAGCAACGGTGAGAGAGGGAAGCGTTCCCACCACGGGCACCTCCAGCTCTGGGAGCTTGGACCTGGTCCCCGGAAGCAGTTAGAGATGCAGCTCCTGGTTGCAAACACAAGACCAGGCATTCCTGCAGGCACGGCTCAGGATTCCCTTCCCTGTGCAGTTTGGTGCCCGTGAGAGGAGTTAACACCGTGAAACACCTTCGCTTGGTCAGGAGGGACTGCAAATACTGGGCAGCAGTGAGTAGTTTAAGGGTGTTTCCTGATGTAAGACCATTCACAGAACAGCACCGGTGATGGGTTATTAAGCATAAAGGTTTCACCTTCTATTTTCTTCCAGCTGACTCAGACACTTCTTCCCAGCTTGATGTGAAATGCTTGGACAATGCACGCCCATAAAGCTCCTTAAGGAGTGCATTTGGTGACCGAGTTGGAAAATCACTGCATTTTAAAGGTCAAGGAACGGTTTTCAGTGCTCCTCAATGCCTGAACTCAAAGTCCAGATGTGCTTTGCCTCACAGACTGACAAAGATATTAACAGATCTCCTTGATTTCCTTTGGGTTCTTATGCCTCCAGAGTGAGCTGTAAAATTACCTTTGGTAAGAGCAAGGTTTGCATCCCCTGATGTGCCAAAGGCATGGTGGCCCGTTCCACAGTTTCTCCTGCAAAGCTGTTTCAAATGGAAGTCTTCCTCCTACTTCATGTTCACCTGGGAACACCCCAACCCTTGACTGGTTGTTAGAGGTGCAAGAATTATGGTTATGAGCTAAAAAGAAGGTTGAAAAGCTGTAGAAGAGACTTGCTAGGGGGAATGAAGAGCCTGTGGTGAGCATGGCTGGAACTGGGGGGAATGATGTGCTATAACAGAGCACAGAAGAGACGGTGACCAGATGTGACAATGACGCTCACCTCATCCGAGCTGGTCTGTATCTGGGGTAGATGAGGTTTTAGAAGCAGCTTGGAAGGAGGTGAAGAGCCTCAGTGTGTGTCTCACTGCCCAAATAACCGCCACACTGTTGAACCCCGACCCTCTGCCTCGGGCACCGCCACCAGGACACGGCACGGGAGCATCTGGGAACCCAGGAGAAAGCAGCGCCCTGCAGGAGCTGCCACCGAGCCCCAGGAGCCGGTGCGACCGCCGTGCCTGGGCCCGTGACCAGCGCTATACCTCATCCTTTTGTTGTTCTTTTGTTCTCCTCCTCCTTTTTCTCTTTTTTTAAGAACCAGAGCTTAGTGCACTCAATCACATTCAGGTTATTTTCTGTTGTAACTGTGCGATGCAGAGCAATCATACAGGGTGTGCTTGTACCACCTGCCCCATGCTGGCTCCTGCGAGCCCAACCGCCGCTTCATTCAGCACTTGCACTATTGATTGCTGAGCTAAAGGGCAAAGGAAGCAAGAGGCCAGAGTGGGAGGGATGATTCCATGGACAGTGGGTGCCCCCCCGTCATCTCTCCTGTTACAAAGCACGCAGATAAGCAGCGCTCAAAGGCTGGTTGCAGCCCTGCTCTGCTGCGGTCCTCCCCTCCCGTGAAGGGCCGGTGAGGTGACGAGCATCCCTGACGTGAGGAGCTGAGGCCAGTGCTGCTGCTCGTGGAGGGGCACCAAGCCCTCATGAAGCCTTCGCCTGCAGCGTGGACGGAGAGGGACCCTCGGAAGCAGGCAGAAGGGGCGTCCCACCAGCAGCACAGGTACTGAGCACTGACCCCATTTCCTACCACAATTCACTGTGTATGGATCTGCTAGAGCACCGTGCTTGCTAAAGGAGGGCATTTTGTGTTAATCCTTGCAGTGAGAGCCGTGGAGTGATGCGTGGTGTCCGACGGAGCAGCACTGCCCTCCCCGTACCCGACCGCCTGGGGACCTGCTGCGGACGCCTCTCGAATGTTCGCACTTTGAAGTCGGTGGCCTTGTTTTCTTTAAAGGGCTTGATCTTTTCATGCAGTTAAAGCTAAATGACCTTCCCCATCACGTTGTCCTAGTGCCCACCTCGAAATGAAGCTATGAACAAGCACCGGGATCATCTGAGCGATGATCCGGGACTCAAGAATCTGTCATTAATCTCAGAAGTTTATACCTCAGATATGAAAGCATCCAACTGAACTGGTACCGACACTTGGGAAGCGGCAGCTCCAAGTCTGAATTGACGCTTGTCCTTGAATTTGGTCACTGACAGCAGCAGACAAATAACACACGAAACCCCAACCGCAGAAGCACACAGAGAAAAGCACCGAGGAATTTTTGAGAAGCACCTGAAGCATTCACCCCATCAAAAAAATCAGAATTTGTATTCCCAAACCACGCGTGGGAGGGGTGATTTTAACCTTTTAACCTTAGAAACCTTTATACACAGCCTATGCCTTTGAAACTGCATTAGCTCCCTAAAAAGAATGAGGGGCATAAATGGGTCTGCTACTGTTAAAGGCACAAGGCAGATGCAGCCAGGCAGTCACCACAGCCCCTCTCCAGGCAGCTGCCTCAAAGGTAGAAGGACAGGGATGCATCAGAGTGATAAAACCAAGCACGGACACGGGGTTCTATGCTACTTCACATCTTCCGTGCTAAAGTCCCCCCAGGAGAGCCCCGCTGGGTTGGGAAGTTGTCAGAACTCCATTAGCCACAGTCAGCTGCTATCAAGAGCTGACCCTTCAGTCTGTAAGGGAAAGGGCAGCAGACACCTCACCGCTCGAGGGGCACACATCAGCCCCACAGCTCTGTGTGCATCCATCACCCAGGGGGAAAGGCAGAGTCAGGGCAGGACAGGCACAGGACTGACACTCACCCCAGTAGCTTTGCTGGAAGCCAGGATGTCAGCACACGGATGAACACCTCCGGCTGCCCTCACTCGTGTCTTGCGATAAACTTTGCTTTGATGACAGATTCCATTACATTTAACAGCTCCACCTTCCAATAACCGCCACAGAGGGGTGGACTAGGGGGTCCTTAAACCCAGTTCCATGTTCAAGACAAGGGGACGGGCTTGTGATGGAGACTTGAGAGTGGGAATAGATTTAAAAAGCAAATGGCAATTTTATACCTGTGTTCTGTAATGTTTTATATGTGCGTGGTCTTTCTTAATGTAAAACTCTTGTATTTTTGTGGTTTATATGCAGCAGGACTGAGGGCTGTGAGGGTGCACGCTGTTTTGTAGAATATTCTTAGCCAGTTTTCCCCAAGGAGGGAGACACTCAAGTATTCACCTTTTCATTGGCTTGTACCTGCATGTACAGTATCGGGGCAACAAGTGAAGATGATTAAAGCCAGCTTGAAAACTTTCTTCTGTGCTTGAGTTGAGCTCCTCCAAACATCCACAGCCCAAAATCACTTGTGCAGCCTAAAAAAGTCAACTCCCCCCCCCCCACCGAACAGATGAGCTGGGGAGGAAGGGAAGAAACCCTCTTTTCAGGGAAAAAAGAGCAGGTTTTGACTTGAGGAAAGCACCACCACCATTGACATGCAAGCAGAGTCCCAGCAGCTCCTCCCTCCTCTGCAGCTGCACATCACCATTCACAAGCAGAAGGGAAACTGGCCTCGGGCTGTGGCCTTTAGGGACTCCTGAAGCCCCGGCCTTCCATGGTCTCAGAGTTACCGCTTCCTGTAAAAGCTTTTGGATGGGCCTTGGCCAGGTTTTGCTGAGCAGGGCTGTGAGGCTGCAGCGCCAGCATCCAGCTCTCCTGCGGGCACAGCAGCAGGAATGCTGCATCCCCCAGCTGAGCTGCGAGGCTCTCTTGTATATACAAGTGTCAACTGACCTGACTGTGCCCTGCCGAGCCTGGTTCTCTGCACGCTGACAGCCCTTGGCTTGCACAGACGCTGCTCTCTGCTGACATTTGGGACACGGCCCTGCTCCAAAGCAGATGGAGTTGGTGCGATTTGGACGAGAGGCTCCAAAGCCCACACCTGAAGTGAACAACTCCCAGCAGTGACAGCAGCATTCAGCACAATCTGTTGTGCTGGTGAAGAACACGGGAAGCAGCTGAGGTTTCACTGCAATGTTTTATTGGGAATTTACATATACACAGGGTAAAGCAGACTGCAGAAGTCTGACTTCTTGCTCACGCTGATGAGTTGAAGCAGTTGTGTTCTACTGAAGATGAGAAAAGAAATCTGACCCACCTACTACTTATGCCTAGATTAAAATGTCAGAAGCCACCTGGGAAGGGGGACTGGGATTACACAGGAACAAAACCATAATAGGAAACCAGTATAAATTAGGATGTCATTTTAAAAGAGTAAGAAAAGTGGCGGCGGGCTCTCAGCCCTCCGTAAGTTACCTCTCGAGTTAGACTGTTAAAAGTTAAATACTTCAATACCACATTTTAGACAGAAAAGCCACTCAAGTGCGAGTTTCACATTCCACAGCTTGCCCCACGCTGCGCGAGAATCCGGCTTGCTCAGGGGGGAGGGAGAGGGGTCTTCACAATGACTTTGGTTCCAACGAGGGTTGGCGAGCCAAGGCCTCAGCTCTGGAGAACTCCGCTCAAGGCAGGAGGTAGCAAGGCTTGCCTGCCCCTGGGCTCGGGTTCAAATCCAGTTCCTCAGCACCAAACCAGGTTCCCACCCCTCTGCTAACCACAACCCCTAATACTGACATTGAAGTGACTCCTAGGAGGCCTGACACCGCAGGCAGGATTAAGTGCAGACTTCCCAAGTCCCTCAGTCACACCTCCGCCAAGATACCCTGCAGGACACCAAGTGCTGCCCAGAAGCATTGGTGGAGGTTTGTGCAAGGAGGGGCCCGCCCCAGAAGTGTGCATTGACTGTGCTAAATACAGGGGAGCTCATGTTCTGATCACTGAGGTTTCACCGTGTCTGACAGTGTCGAGGCAGAGATGGGTCTCGGTTATGGAAAGAGGCTCAGGCTGAGCAGGCAGCCAGAAAGAAAAACCCTGAATGTCTCATGGAGCAGTTTTGAAGAACAGAACAGAAGGCAGAAATGGTCACAACGCAAGGGCTCATTTCCACATCTGAGTGCTGAGGGACTGATTGCTTCCCTGGGCACCTCCTCCACCCATTGACTGTCCATATCCCATCATGCCATTAGCTCCATAGAAGTTCATCCCAGCCATCTGCTGGGTCATCTGCAAAGAGGAGCGGAGAGGAGTCAAGGCTACGTCAAGGACATGGGTAGCCCACAGCAGTCAAAAGTAAAACTATTGCTCCCCAACACCATCACAGGCTTAAGGCAAGTTCTAGAGAGCTATGGTGAACAGAAGTCACTGGCTCCTCAGGGGTACAGCCGTTAGCAAGCTGAGGGAGTTTTCCTTTTAGCTGCCATTGCACCGACTTTTGATCTCCACCAAGCACCAAGAACTCTGGACAAGTTACTCCTTTGCGATCCCTCACCCAACTGCAGGAGCCAGGCTATGAAAGCCCTGAGGTATCCAGTAACAGGCCAGGTTCAACCACAGGAGCCTCCCCTGCCCTCCATCCACCTCTGCTCTGCAGCAGATCAGTGCCTTACCTGAGCAATGTTCCACTGAAGCTGCTGTGCCGGCTGCACACCATAGACAGGCTGGGGAACTGCTGCCATGCCAGCTACGTAGCCAGCCTGCTGTGCAGCCATCATCCCATTGGGAACACCAATGACAGCTGCCTGCACATTACCCACATATCCAGCTGGAATGGCCATGGGAGCCACCATCCCGGCAGCTCCAGGCTGGGCCATCATTCCCACCGACGGTCCCATCATGCCTCCCATCATGCTGCTGGAGGGGGCTACTCCTGGAAAGCTAGTGTATGCTGCTGCAGGATATGCCATCTGAGCTGGGGCCATGAACATTGCTCCTAGAAGAAGGCAGAGAGGTGGCCAAGGGAAGAACTGTCAGGGGATTAAATGCCAACCTTCAAATCAGGGACTATCACAACATCCACTTGGCCATGACACCCAGGCTAAGCTGCTCATTATGCTGCTCACCAGATCTCAAGAAGGACCACTTACCTTCCCACATCTTTCCCTGTCAGCTATCAGGACACCCCACCCTCTCTGCACTGACGTACTGCCGTTCAGCAGCTCTATTCTGAGATCTGTTACCTTGCGCAGGCAGCTGAGGTGTTTGAGAGCCGTACAAGGAGAGGATGGAGTCTTTAGAGAGCTGCTTCTTCCCCACTTCCTCCCCTTTGCTTCCTGGCTCAGGGAACAGATTCAGGTTTTCAGGAACAGAACCAGCACTTCCAGAGGTTGGCATAGAGCCAGTGACCTGAGACAGAGACAGCAAAAGCACATCAGCCACGTTCAGCACCAGGTAAGACAGATCCTCATCAAGCATCAAGCACTGATGTTCCCCACTCACCTTCCTGGAGTCAGAGTTTGATCCCACCGATGCAAAAAGATCAAGATCCTTCTCTAAGCTGCTCGGCCTGCCGTTTGTCACTGTGCTTGTCACAGGAGCATCTGGAAGAGACCAAGCTCTGACGGACGTTCACACGGATGGCCTCGGGCTGAGGGCAGCCTCGTTGCCAGCATGCCACTCAACCCAGCGGCCTGACCTGTAATCTGCTGCAGCCAACACATGTTGCCAGCTCTTTGCTTGCCCTTTGGTGCTGAGAAGGAACTGGCTCAGGACCAAGGATGTGCACTGTGCTGTATCTGCCCTATTAACCTCAGAGCAGCCAGGAGCCACAGTGTCTGGAGATCACCACAGCAGCTGCTGCACAAGCACAGGCACTGTACCGGCAGAGAGGAAAACAAGGAAAACTGTTTCTGCTCCAGCCTTCAGCACTGTGCTTGAGTTGCAGTGGAGTAGTTAATAAAACTCTAGTGTTCCCATCAGCTATTGTTCACCTGACATGGAAAGTTGAGTGCTAAAAGCACTCACAAGATCAAGGCTGGGGTGTATGGTCATTGTAGCACCTGCAATAACGTTGGAAAGGCTCTTACCAAGTCCTAGCAAGTCCATTACTGGCTCAGTAGATTTAGGAGAACTTTTTCTAGACTGCTGTGCTTCTTCTTTCTTTTGAGGCTGGGGAGAAAGAACAGCAGAGGCCTTGGTCACATTATGGATTTACTCTGATACATTAAAGGTTTTAATGAGAGATTAACCCTTGAAATCCTTGATCTTCCAGTGCTTTCAAAGCAAACAATTTAAGTATTACACGGTTGGTTTATTGTCCCACTGTGTTGGAGCCCACTGCCAAATTCAAGCATGCTCTAAACTAGGAAAAAAGGAACAGCTCAAGCTGGAAAGCTAAGCAAGGAGTAGGTGGATTCCAATCCTCTGCGCTGCAAGGCAGGACACATCTGCTTAGTATCTGGTTGATCAGAGAAAAACAAGCCACTACCATTAATGTGACTCAATGCACCCACTGCTGTGACTGGGGGCAGAAAAAATGCTTCCATATCAAGCTGGATTACCTCTGTTCTGCTTGAGAGAAGTCTTTACAATTGATCCATGACCATGCCTTTTGGTCTTACCATTTTCACCTTCTCAAAGATGATAGGTTCCAGTTTTCTTTCTGATACTGGTTCATTACTCCTTTTCCATTTGTCATCCTTTTCTTTCTGGAAGGAAAAAAAACCACTAACGTGAGGGTCAAAACTAATGTCATTTACCAAGAGAAAGTTCACAGAGTTCAGAGTTACTACTCTATAAAGCCAGAGGATAGAGCTAAAGAGCTACATTTGAAGCTAGCCCTGATCTGAGGAAGGTGCTGGCCTTCAAAGGTCCCCTCCAGTTTAAATTCGTTCTCCATAATGAGTGACTGCAACCAGCCCTGGAGAAGAGATTAGTCACTAATACAGGAAACATCTAAACTCTATTCTCAGAGGCACTGCTTACTCATCAGACAGACACACACATCTTAACATGCATTCAAGCTTCTGCAGAATTGATTAGACACTAACCCTAAAAGCACTGATGTCAATACTTCGGTCCATGTACTTCTTCTTCTCATATTTATCCCGAATGAAGCTCTCCACAGCTCTGCAAGCAGCTTGTTAAAGACCAATGATTCAAGAATAGAAGACTTACATAGATTATTTGACATGTGGATACAAGGTACAGGCTGTAACTAAACTAATGACTGTTTAAAGAGCACTTCCAGCAGTAACTTTCTTAAAATAATTTAGCGTTGGTTCCAACTACTTCAGCTCCTCAATTTTTGCCCTTGAATTATTCCAAGCATGACAGTGCTATAAAAGGTACATCAAATCAGGGCTTAAATTCCTGGTGTATTTTCTTCCCTGATGTCTATTTATTTCAATCATCATCTAAGAGCATACATGTCATTAGCACAAATCAGGCAGAGAAGTGAATCCTGCGTGTACAAAAGCACCTCAGCCACCAGCTTAAGCCACAAATGATGGCAGAGCTGCTCCTGTGTTTCTTTAGGGTCACATCTGTGCTATACTCCTGGTGCACTCAGTACCTACAAACCCTCCTGTAAGGCAGAATTTTTCAGAAGTGTTAAACCTTTATATCTGCCCCCACTGAGACTTTAAACTCCTCAGCACTTTTGACAGCCAACCTTCCTATCTGCCACATAAAGTGCATCTCATGCCATAGCTCCAGGTTGTAACATTCATGTTCCAGTTCTGCATCCTTCGAGCTCAGAAGCAATCCTCCGAGCTCTCTCCTGCTCCGTTCCATAAGCACGCAGCCACGCTCACAGGGTGCCAGGCTAGGAACTCAGTCCTCATTCTCACAGCTGATGCCCAGGCACATAAAGTGAAACCTCCTGTGCAAGGAGTGCAGCTGCAAAGCTACAAGATGAAAAGGCTCTGTGTTTCCCCAGCAGCAAAGGAAGACAGGATGCTGATCCGTTTGAGGTCTCCTGAAGTTCTCTGGCAGGTAGGCTTCATAAAGACGATTTGCTTTGCCATTTCCCATCTCTTGTATGCACTGCAATTCAAAAGGATTCTTGTTTGTTTCATAGACATTAAAGCTCTTACATATGCTAACACACCAGGCTACCAAGCAAGAGTCTATCTGTGTTAACTGGGAGGTACATGTAGACTTCTGAAGCCTGTTCCACACATGAAAGCCACCCTGCAGGGTTTCAGTGCCAACCTCCAGGCTGGGAATCCCTGATGCTGCTCCTACGATCCCTCTGTCCCATACAACTGGTCAATCCTAAGCCCCACAACACAGTGTTTGTCTGAAGACAAGATAAATATCACATTAGGAACCTAAAGTCACTCTGGAAGTCCAGGATTTGTCCTCAAGACCACCTCAAAGAGGAGGTGTGCAGCAGCTCCAGACAACAGCAGCTTTACATACACTTGCTGAGCATTTGTCCTTCCCCCTGATGTTTGCTGAGCCTGAAGTGATGGCATTTTCCTTCCCAACCTAACCTAGCTTGGAATCTTCTTCCTGCTTCACTTCCCACAGCTTTGGCCTATTCAGACTTTCACTTCCAGGTTTATGAAGCCCCCCTAAGAGAACACCACTGCTGATGTTTCACTCACCTGTATCTGTTCTTGTGTCCACTGGTCCAGATTGACAGATTTTACCCTGGATATATGAACTCCTAGGTTCCTGTGGATCCCAGCACAACGAATACAGATGAATACACCGATGTTCCAGGATGCCCATCGTGGCCCTGCAAAGAGACACAAGTGTTTCATACCATGAAGTTAACCTGTGGCTGCCTTCAGCAACTGAGAAACTGGACCAAGTGAACTGGGATTGAGGTGTTTACATTTTCATCCCCATTAGTAACTGGAATTAAACATCGGTGGCATGTTTAAAGGTTGTCTCCCAATCATATACTTTTAGAACTGGTATTTTATTGCCCCCCTCTTCCATTCTGAGAGCTCTACACAAGACAGACAATTCTAAGGGGAGGAGGGAAGAAAAAAAGGTATCTAAACCACCCAAGACACTACAAACCCCTGATTTCATCTTGCTTAGCCCATGGAATAGTCATATCAATGTAAGTCTGTGCTCCTGCTTTAGCAATGGAGAATCTTTCCTGGAGAACCATATTGCAGTGGAATCAGCTCCAGAATACCCACTACTGCTCTAGGAAAAGCAGCGTAAAATACTCAGCACTTGACATAGGGATTGCATCATGAAATCTTCTGCTACTCTTATGCAGGAAGCTACAGCTGAGCAAGGAGAGCAGCACAAAGCCCAGAACCTTGGCCACCAAGGTGCAGAGCCAGTGGCAGAAGGCAGGCTGCAATCCTGGCCCAAGGCTGAACAGTTCACTCTGCAGTTTCTACAGCTCTGAGCACCCCAACGGGTTGCATGCGGCTTGCACGCAGGCAGGAGAGCTCCGAGGTGCGGAAGGGAAATCATGCCAAGGAGAAAAGACACAAGGGAAAGACTGCCAGGCTCAGCTTTACTCACTGCAAACAGCTCCCTGAAGGAACCCCAGCAATGCATTGCCCAGAGGACAACAGGGGTCATAGGGACTCCCACCACTCGCAGCTCCCCCCCAGCCAGGACCAACAGCCCCTGGCCAGCAAAACCCTCAGTCCTGCTGAAGGAAGACCAGGAACATGCCTCTCAGTGCAAGACAAGCAGGTTTTTAAACTAAATCCTCCAGCTAGAGCTGCCATCCAGGGGCTGGATGTCACTGTCAACGGCTAACCGGCCAAAGAGGCACAGCAAAGCCACATCCTGAAAAATGGAGCTGATAGTCTCCAATAAACCATGCCAGCTCTTCCTACAGGCATCACTGCAGATGAGTTATTCTGTCTTTTCTTGCCACAGTTAAAATAGCAAGCCTCAAAGCTAATGAGACTGAGGTGGGAGGGGGAAGAGGGGGAAAGTGTAATTTCAAAGCTCTAAAAAAGCAGCACTGCATTTGACTCTCCTAGATATGTTAGATGGTTGTTAACAGTTTCCTGGCAAAGTTCAGAGCACCCCAAGGGATTTGGGGCTGCTGAAGCAATTGGTGGCTCATGGTCCCCTTCAGGGCAAAGACATGCACTTTCTAACTTGCCTCCAGAACCTACCCCAGCTAACGCATGTTATGATTTTAAGAGTGTCTCTTAAGCCTTCTGGCCTGTCCTGCCATTGCCTTCTGCCTTGTCACTAGAAGAGTGGCCCTTGAGAATATTTAATGAAGATTATAAAAGTCACTTTCCAGCTTGGGAAGAACTCTTGGTGAAGACACTCTTACCTATACCTCAGCCCCTTTATTATACCTACCAAAATCTAGGACTAACTGCACCAAAGCAGGGGCCCATACATTTAGCAGCACCTAAGTAAGGCACAGGAACAAAAGGCTTGTTCAGTGTTACACCTGTAACAATCCAAGGCGAAGCCAGGACCCTGCTCCTTCATTTGATTTATTCATGGAGCTCTCTCCCAGTGACACCCTGAAGCTCTAACGCAAGAATGCCAGCAGGATTAAGCACAGGAGTCAAGGTTAGATTTAAACTCTAGATATATTTAGCCTTTGTAGGACTAAAAGGATTAATAGGCAGCTAGATACTACATCAGGCTGTAGTAATCAGCTCACTGGTTTATCACATGTGCTAGCTCAAGCCACTGCAACCTCCCACCCTGCGATGCCACATAAGAGAGTGACTCAGTGTAGAGCCTGTGACACCCATCCTGCTTCAGCCTTACCTCATCTGCGATGCAGGACCTGAAATAGCAGGAGCTGGGTACAGGAGGAACAGCTGACTGATGCTGCAGCTCCCAGCTCTGGAAGACTCCAGGACTGAAGCAGCTTCCTTATGCCAGTGAATGTTTAAGAGGAAAAAGGTACAGGCTTTCAAAAACCCTCCTGGCAGCTAGCATTTGCTTTGGTGATAAACATGTATTACACAACCCAGGGTAGGTCTCTTCACTGATGCTATTCCAGCCAGGGCTTGGCCATGCTCGCAGTGTGCTGAACTGGTGTCACAGCCTTCCTTCTGGCTCTGGACAAAACTCCAAGCCTGCAGCTACCTCTGCAGTCCTGCAAGGCACATGGATGTGAACTCTATCCAAAACCATGGTGTGTTCAGATAGAACTAGTAATGTCTTTAGCCCAGTTCCACAGCCCTGTATTCTATCAACACTGTGATAAAAAGAGAAAAGAGGAACAAGACATGGCCAGAGTGAAAAGCTGCTTTAAGATAAGGAGCTGCACAAGAGAAGCACTTCCCTCAACAGCAGCAGAGGGCTGACAATACACCAGGGTGAGAGTCATGCTTCAATCATCAGCACTGGTCAGAGCAGTGGCTTGTTAGCAGCAGTGTGAGGCAGGTGAAACTTGTCCTGCTGAGTGAAGCTCCAAATAACTCCATGCTCATTAAAATCATCAGTTGGTGTCTTGGGCTGTGATGGACATCACAAGGTTTCTACTGCTGAACACAAGAGTCTCCCAAGCAAGACAGCCTGTCCTAACCGGGCTGCCAGCCAGGAAGCAGAGACGTCCCAGTTAGGTTGGGTCAGATGCAACATGCAGAGGCACCAGCCCAAATACATGCCCTCACTAGACCTTCAGCTTTGCTAGTATCTAATCCCCCAGTCATTAAGCTAAACCAACATTTTTACCATCTCCTTTCTCACAAAGCACTTTGTTTAGGGGCAAGAGGGAAGGGTGTTGCTGCACACGTAAACAAGCCTCCCACTTCCCTCTTTACAGGCCACAATGATGGAGCTTGCACTAGAAATCAAATGAGGAAGTGCCCAGTGAAGAACTTTGTCCACTCAACTTCCCCAGCTTCACATGCCCTTCTCAAGGTGACTGCCTGCAGAAAGCCCCAGGTGGTATTTACAGATGTGCGTGCAGTCAATGTTGGAGCTTCTAACTTCCCACAGGCTAAACCAAGCTGAAGATGTACCAACGCTCCAGTGACAGAGCATTGACAGAAGGGCAAAACCACCTCAGCAGACGTTAAGGGTAAAGTTTCTCAGAGAAAGCTGGTTTTATCTCAGTGAGCAGTGTTTATCAGCATTCCTAGAGCGCTATCTGCCCTTGCAGCCTTTGTGCACACCCCAACACTCACCACTAATTGCGTGCATAGCACACCACAGGGAGCACTTTACCCTTTGGGTTGAGTGATTCATGGAAACTAAGGCTTTAGGACAAGGCTAACAAGCATTCAGCTTGTGAAACCACTAGAAACATGAAAGAAATTGGTCCTTGCATGAATACTCTTGCTAATGTTATAAAAATAGTTCCCCTGAGGAATCATTTTATCCTGTCCCTACAGCCACCAGATGGCTTTGGAGCTCAGGCCTAAAGTCACCTCCATATGCAAAACTGGGAGTTTGCTGCAATGACAACCAGCAGTTGCTTTTTTTTCAGTGTTATGGCTAATTTTAACATCCATGGTAAGCAAGTTACTTGGCAGTGACCCGAGCCGGGCATAGCTTGTTCTGTGCTGATTTAGTACCTCGTGCCCCTGTACATCACCCCATCTGCACACAGATCCTGTGTAGAGGATGCCAACCACCTGCAGGTGAACATGAGGTCAAAGAAAATGAGTTGTAAGAATCGAACCAGATTGAAGAGCCCAGCTACACTCGGTTCTGGCACAGTAGTAAGGATAGATCAGACCACATTGGGATATCTTCCTAGCCTGGCAGGGGTTGCTGGAAGATCACGAGCTTAAAAGCACCTCCTGCTCAGTCAGCTTTCATTTGAGAAAGCTGCACTGAATACCTGAGTGTATTCCTGAGCGAGGATGCGCTGCCATCCAGCAGAGACTGGAAAGCCATGTGCAAGACACTCAGCTGCTCCATCAGTGCTTCCATGAGCCTGTTTCACAGCCTGGTTTATATCCCAGGCTGTCAAAATAAACCCCGCATACCAAGCTGCTCATACTGGCTTAAGTTAGCATCTAAGCTGGCATCATTAATGCCTACAAGGGCTGCCTGAATGATCTGCCCTTATGAAAAGGCTCCAAATTCCCTTTAAAACCCCAGCACGGCATGGCTAGGCCATTTCACATTGTGTCTTAGTCACTTGCTGAAAGTTCACACCCTTAAGTGGTTTTAATGAAGGAATCCCGAAGGGATTCACTCCTCACCCTTTATTCAGGAATTAGACTTTGGCTGAAGCTACCCAGGCAAGTTTCTTCTGTAATAACCCTCCAGAAGGCATTTAAAAATAAAACAGAAGTTGGCTGCAAAGCCTCTGATCTTCTGAGAGGGGGGGGTCAGGGAAAAAGAGCTGCTTTCATGGGCAGGAAGGAGGGAGCACCGCTATTCAGAGCCTGATGAAATATTCTTGGTGCAAACAACCCTTTGCCTCGCGGGCTCCCTGCCTGGGAGAGCTCCAGCAAAGCCCAGCTGTAACAGAGAGATGCTCCTGCTCTGCCCATTGAGCCCAGCTAACACTGCTACATGTGTTGGAGCAGGGCTCCCTACAAGCAGCCCCTCTCAGCACTCGCAGGGGAAGTGGATGTGGGAAACTCTCCTTGGAGCCGGATAATCCCTGTGAGATGACGGTCACATCCTCAGTGAGTCAAAGTTGAAAAGCTCTACTTTTTCAGAGCCAAATGAGGAACAGCCAAGTATCCAAGAGCTGCCTTTGACTTGTGGTTTCCTTACTCTGGAACGAGGTTGCTTAATGACTTACTGAAATGCATTCTGCTCATAGAAAAGCTATGACAAAGGCTGTCTTACAAAACAGCTTCCTCTGCTCTTTACTGTAGATGTCTGTTCTACAGTCAAATGTCCAGATGAGCCTGGGGAAACAAGGTAAGCTCTGCTAGTGAGTGAAAAGCACAGAAACTCAACTTCAAGAGCTCCAGATTACATTATTTAGTTATTAAATAGCAATTTAGTTATTAACACATGCTAGTTAGTTACTGGCCTGAGCATGCACCCCAATGCAGCACTCATGGCCCTACCCCAGATCTGGACCCGCGTGAAGCACCACTACCTTCCTACCACTACCCCCAGATGTAGTACCAGACTAAGCTATTTGTGTAGCTTTCAGGAAGCCATTGGAACCCAGAGAAACAGGGATGCTAAAGCCAAAATGCTTGGTAGGAAGGGAGCTTGATAAGGGTATATGCCTTGTCAAGTAGCTTAGTGGTTCAAAACTTCAACTTGATGCCACCTTTTGGAAGAGGAAAGGGCTGGTTTGGAGGTTTTTCTTTGTCTTAGGTTTGCTTCTGGTTCTTCCCCCTGCCCCCGAAAAAGATCACTGCAGTAATTATAGGCTTTAACCAGTCTCTGCAGAAAAAAGGAAGAGAAAGAGCCAGAGACATCTATAGGGGTTGAAAATACTGCTTCCAACAACAGCTTGGAGCTTTGCCTTCAAGTCTTCTTGGCTGTATTAGCAACAATGGGTATACCCTCTCCTCCAAACCATAATGTTTGCTACAGGTACCTTACTGACCAAGTGAGACCAAGCTGACCAGTGCTGTGATTCAATAGTCTGCTGATGAAGGAGTTATGGCACAACAAGCTTTCGGTGAATATGAGCAGTATGGTTTATATTAATATTAGTTTGGCTGGACCAAACCAACTAGGATAAGCTACCTCCCCCATTCCATGAGAAGTCATCCTTCCTTAACTGCACCTACTCTACCCCAAGCTTTTTATCCTGCTCTTCCTGCTTCCCATCCAATGTTTAACCACCTCTGCACAGGTAGCTTCAAAGTTCTCCCCCTCTTTCAGAAAACAGCAGTTGAAGAACTCAGACCTGGCTTTGCATTTGGTAACAAATGGTTTCCCACCCAACCACTGAAGTCAGAAGGGGTTGATTTGGGCACAGAACCCACAGCTCTCACAACACACAAGGGATGAAGGGAAGAGTCAGACAAGCCAGGAAGAGCACAGGGCAACCTTCACCGTGGACAGAGATCAGTCCTCGCTGGTGCTGCCTGCGCAGGAACCTGCCATTCCAACGCCAACACAACTGGATCCAAGGAGCCTGTTGGATAGATAGGACTGGAAGAGTAGAGGGGAAGAGTTTGGGAGAAGAAGAGAATCAAACAGAATTAGCTGTACATTACACACATTCAGCCCAAGCTCCAGAGGCAGAAATGCAGAGAAGAATCCAGTTAATCTCAGTGCTACTCGACAGAAGACACTTCAATTTACTGGAAGCATCTGAACACTTCGTCAAGTCCAGCTTGCACACATTATACCACATCCCTCCACATCTACATTGCAATTTCAGCCTCCAGACTCATTCTGATGTTCAGCAGTGCATCTTCTGACAGATACTCAATAGTCAGACTGCTTGAGAGTCTCACCATCTCTCACACACGTGAAATCACACCACCACAACTGCCCCAAGAAGGCCCTTTGCATGAGGAATGCACAGGTAGAGGAAATCCCCCTCTCACTCAACAGCTTCTTTTAAGGTGTTTTGTCCAAGCTATGAATACAAAGGCCTTCAAAAAGAGGATTATGATAATCCCTCACTCCAGCTTCTAGTGAAGACACTGCACCACCTCAGCCATGCTGGGCAGTGCTGAGGGCTGAGCTGCACCACTGCAGCGCTGCCAGGACTCCACACAGGACCATTGCTCTGGATCAGCACCACCTGTATGGTGACAGCACTGAGAGCTGCACATGAAAACAACCCAGATGAGGAAATCTGCTGTTCTGTTTGTGCCTAACACAGCTGGACCGTGTCCTGAAAGGCTGCCACTGAGCTTCCAAGTCCTGTTTTGATCAAGTAATGAAGCCCCCCCCCCCCCAAAGATCTAAGCTCCACTGCCAGAAAGCAGTCGAGCCACGCTCTGCTTAGGCACAGGATGTACTGCTCACTACCTGCCACACATCACCCAGTTTACCCAGTTACTTTGGGCCCAAAGTTTGCAATGCAAAGAGGAAGAAGCAGGCAGGGATCTCACCCAACTTCCTCCACAAGAGCCTCTAACCACTGCAGTTTCACTGTTGTAGAGGCAAAACACCCTGAGCTTGCTTTCCCAGTCATCTTATCCTTCTTCCCAAATGCAATGACTTGGATCCAGGACATTAACAGCTGTCTAGGGAAGCCAAAGAGGCTCATGTTTCTGCAGTTAAAGATATGAATTGGACTAGGAATCAGTTGTACACACTGCTTGATGGTAAGCAAGTAGTAACAAGAACACAGAAGACCTTCTCCCTAAGCAATCATGCTGATGAGGGTAGAAGAGATGGATAACACTCAGCTGTTTACCAGCAAGAGCATGTTTCCTATACTGACCCCAGAGTGCAGGGCCCAGCCAATAGCCAAGAGAGCTGATGCTCCTGAAAATGTGACTTTTACTCTACCACAGAGAATGCCTCTAGAGCATGAAGTCAAGTGGGTCCATACCAGCCCTGCAGCTTATGCTCACAGGTACTGCAATCTTGCTTAGTTCTGCATATAGAAGAGGGGGAAAAGACAGTAATGAAACCCAGCAAGCAGTTAGGTCATTGGGAACAGGCATAATGGAACAGTGGGTGGCATCTGAACAGTCTCTGCCTATGTGTCATGCTAGCTTTGAAACGCTCACATCAAGCAGGAAACCACTTCAAAATTCAGTAACTTCAGCAGAAAAACAGATGGTCAAAAGCCAGGGTTTTATTGTCACTGTCCTGATAGGTGCTGTATGAGCTGCCAGTTCTTACTCTGCCTTCAAGCAGCATTCTTTGTGTGCCTCAAAAGCAGCATAGCCCGAGCAGAGCAGCAGGCAGCTGTAGAGAAGAGCAGCCATCCTTCCAGGTAGGCCTGGGACTGCTGACAGGAGGCATCTGGAGCTAGCAGCTACCACGTGGCCTCTCATTAGCACACACTTGCAGTTTTAGTTATCAAGAAGCCATACATCAAATAAAATGTGCTCTTTGCTGGAGTACACCTGGGGCTCATCTCCATATGCAAAGCAGAACCTTGCAGTTACTTTGAGCAGCAGTAAGAACATCAGGCCTTTTTTGCCATCATTGCTGCAACCCAGTTCCAGTGCCTTGCTGGGAGAACACCACATTAAGCCATGGGAACCAAAGTGCAGCCCAGTTTGATGCTTAGACTGGCACCAACTACCAGTTGCATGCCTGCCTGAGAGCGAGTGCATCTACCCCTCCTGTGGCCACAAACTCCATCTGCTGCCCTCGAGGAGATTCCCCATCTCCATGAATCCCATTAGTATAGTGGGTAATCGTTTCGCCAGGCACCTCAGTGCAACAGAAGTCCACTCTTCCTGACTGATGCAGCCTTGCTTCCAGCTTTGGTGGCAATGCTGAACTGCAACACTTGGACTTTAATGCATAACTAACTGGGATACTGCACTTCCAGGATGTCCTATGAACAGGAGAAGCTACGTGATCACATCAAATAACCTGGAACTGTGAGGAGAATTTGTTTCCCTATTGTGTACACTACTGTCTCATGCCTCAGAAGACAAGATAAGCAGCTATTCTTGCCCTTGGCACTGTTGTTGGGTGCCAAGAGATAAGTGATTTCCATGCGAGAGGAACACTGTGCTCTCTGCCAGCAGCACCACCTTCAACCTACACAGTCAACCAAAGGCAGTTGTGAACCACGTCTCAAAGTAAGGCAGGTTGTTAGGATGAGGTTCCTGTGTCCGAGGGCTCCTAGAGCAGGGCTGCAAGCACATCCTACCAACATCACGTTAATGCTGTGCAGCAGTGCTCTCTCCAGTTTTTAGAGGTCACCCTGAGGTGAGTCTCCCACATGGACACAGAAAGACCCTGCTCTTAGTTCATTTATTGCAGCTCTCAGGAAACAAGCCTCAAGTTCAGATCCCCAAATGATTATAAAGCTCATTAAAACAGGATTTTAGCAAGGCACGGGCATAACCTTAACTCTTTCACTACAGGAAAGCAAAGCATTTCACAGCAGCAAACCACAGAAGGGGATCTGGAACAAGGAACAGTTGTTCCATTCATTTGTTTTGTCTTCTGGAATTCAAACATCCGCATCTGACTCTCCTTTAGGAAAGATAAGGACTGGATCCCAACGTGCCTTGAAAGCAGCGGCAAAGGAAGCACAGGGCAAACATCTGAAATTCCTTCAGTGGTTCCAAGGCTCCAGTTCCTTCCTTTCCCTTCCACACTGCACCTCCAAACACAGCTCCGGCCCGGGCCCCAGGCACCAGGGCTGCTTCCCAGGATGTGACTCCTCGGCGGGGATGCCCTCCAGAATTACGCAACGCGGCCTCCAGGTTCCTCTGAGCACGGGACCCTCCGGAGCGCAGCTCCCACCCGGAGGAGGGGTTCCCACACCGGCACTTGGGGCCCAGCAGATGAGCTCCCACAGAGCGATGGGCAAAGGGGGCTGGAGGCCCGCGGGGCCGCTCCGGGGCTGCCACAGCGCTGCCGCGGCGCGCACCGGGAGCTCAACGCGGCTGAGCCCAAGCCTGCTCCTCTGCTGGGGGCTGCAGCAGGCACCCAGCGCGGCTCAGCCACGGGGGAACCGCCCCCTCCTGCCAGCCCCAAACCCCCGGCCCCACCGCAGCAGCCACAGGCAGCCCCTGCCCGCAGCCGGCTCCTTCCCTGCCCGCTCACGGGGGGCCGGAGCGCGGAGCCATCACCCCCTCCACGGCCCAACCGGGCCCGTCCCTGCGGCGGCCCCCAGGGAGGGGGGACGCGGGGGGCACCGTGCGGCCCGGCCCCTGCAGGCCCCGCCGAGCCCGCGCGGAGGCGCCGGTACCTTTGGCCTGGCAGTCGGCGCAGAACTTGTTCTCCTCCTCGGCCAGCAGCGCCGCCAGCACCGCCTGGTACCGCTCCACGTCGCGCACGGTCTTGCCCGTCATGGCGCGGCCGGCGCTGCCCGCCCGCGGGTCACGGCGCCGCCGTCCCGGGCTCCCGCTGCTTCCGGCTTCCGGCCCGGCGGCGAAGGGCGGGGCGAGAGGAGGGAGGGGCCAATAGGCGGGCAGCGCGCGCTTCATAGCCTTACCCCGCCTCGCCCTCTAGCCGCTGATTGGCTGAGGAGAGGAGGCAACGCCCGCGGGAACCAATCGGTGGAGGCGGAGCGGGGGAGGGCGGGGCGGGACGGGGGACGGCGACTTATGAATGGGCAGGGTCACGTGACGGGCTGAGCCGGGGGCTTGGGGGACCTGGGGATGCGGGGGTGCAGGTTGTGGGGTGCAGGTGGTGGTTTGGGATGCAGGTGATGGTTTGGGATGCAGGTGGTGGTTTGGGATGCAGGGGGGTGGTTTGGGATGCGGGGATGCAGGTTATGGGGTGCAGGTGGTGGTTTGGGATGCAGGTGATGGTTTGGGATACAGGGGGGTGGTTTGGGACGCAGGGGGATGGTTTGGAATGCAGGGGGATGGTTTGGGATGCAGGGTGGTGGTTTGGGATACAGGTGATGGTTTGGGATGCAGGGGGGTGGTTTGGGATGCAGGGTAATGGTTTGGGATACAGGTGATGGTTTGGGATACAGGTGATGGTTTGGGATGCAGGGGGATGGTTTGGGATACAGGTGATGGTTTGGGATACAAGGTGACGGTTTGGGATGCAGGGGGATGGTTTGAGATACAGGGGGATGGCTGTGGGATAGAGGGGGTTGTGGGATGCAGGGCGGGGCTGGCGGCTCCCTGGAGGGGGCAGCAGGAGGAGGAAGCCAAAAGCAAATGCTCTTTTGGATCCCACAGTAAAATTAATGGGACAAAGTCTTGAGTCTTTTGGACAAGATGGAGATGATGAACTGAACCCCAGTATTCCCATTGGAGAATGGGAGAAGGGGCAATACAGGAGAAGCTGCAACCAGATGAGCAATTGCATCAAAGGGAGACAAGAAATACGTCACTGTGTAGTAACCTGAGAGACACTGCAAATTGCGTAATTCCTCCAAAAGTGACACTCGTGTCCCAGAAAGGCGCCAGGCCAGGTGGCAGCGCTGGGAAGCATCTGCCTCGGGCACAAGCAGAAATATCCCAATGGCTGTGTGAATGGTGAGGAACCAAATTTAGATGCTCTGAAAACAAGGAGCTCTCAGCCAGGCAACGAGAGGGTTTTTGTCCCAAAACACCGGGTTTTGGTGGAAGTGCTTCCAGGAGGGGCTCTGGGAGGGTAGAAGCCTGTCGGCCTTCCCAGTGCCAGGCTGGGACATGGGGAGACACAACTGGAGAGGAGATCCTAGCCCAGTGGTGCATCCCCAGTTCTGGCTGGTCCATAGGCAGGGATGGTCCCCTGCCCATAGGGAGGATGTGGACCCCCATTTTGCTGCCCCTGATCTGCAAAGGGGTGCAGGCAGCAGCCTGCCCACTGCTGGGGGGCCACTGAGCTCCCCCAGTACCAATGAATCAGTGTTCAGTAGCTCATTGTGGAGCCTTCAAGCCCTCCATGAGGAGGAGGAAGGAATCACTGAGATGAATCATTCCCATATTCCCGTGGAGTTGGTGGGGGTGTGTGTGTGAATCTGGGGGGTGGCTATGGGGAGCTGTGTATGGGGGGGGAGGGGGGGTGTTGGTGAGGAGTGGGGCATCCATTCCCCCATGTTCACAGCCTCATGTCCTGCCTGCAGAGAACAGCCAGTGGCCCCCCCAGCACTGCCTCCTCTCGTCCCAGTGCCAATCCAGCCACAGGCAGTGGGGGTAACCTCAGCCCCAGCCCTGGACACACAGTGCCCCATGGCCTGGCATGGGCAGCACACTGGGGACATCAAGGGGACACCCTGGGGATGCCCACGCGGCCGTCCCGGCTGGAGTCTCACCATGCAGCTCCACCAGCAGCTCCCCAGCTTGTCACCCTCATCTCCCAGCCCCTTGGTCTGCATTAAAAGCCCCTTTGTGCCACCCGTGTCAAATACCTCCACCACCATCCTGCCTGACCCTCCACCTCCAAATCCTCACATCTACCACTGTGAGGTGTTGCTGCCCACGGCAGGGGGTCGGAACCGGATGACCTCAAGGTCCTTTCCAACCCAAACCATTCCATGATTCCAGGACTCAACGGTTCTATCGTGTCAAACCCTCCAGCGGGGTCCAGCACAGCACAGCCACAGGCTCACCTGAGCAGGGGCGGGGGCCGGGGCTGCCGCCTGCCCTCATCCCACTGCTCCATATTCATGAGCCCCTCCTGCTCCTGCTCCTGCTCCTGCTCCTCCTCCTCCTCCTCCTCCTGCCGGGGTCCGCTGTGCAGTCGGGGCTGGTGCCGTACCTGAGCGCAGCCGGACGCGGCCCCGCCATGGCCGGCGGCCCCCCCGTGCTCCAGCTCTGGCTCCTGCTCCAAGCCGCCTGCCTCTGCTTGGCCCAGATCGTGAGTTCTTTGCTCGGTCCCGCTCCGCGCCGGGCCGGGATAGGGGACGGGGAGGGCACGGGGAAGGGATAGGGAGGGGATGGAGAAGGGATAGGGAGGGGATGGAAGGGGACAGTCTCCATCTCCCCGCCATAGACGCTCGCTCGCAGTGCTGGGACTTTTGCTTCTTTTCCCAGCGCCTTTCCCTTGATTTTCCCAGGAATGACCCACTATGGGGGGTGCAGCAGCACCCAGCCGGGACCCCCAGCTCTGACCCAACTGGGATCTCTCCATGACGAAAGCTGCCTCCAGCCCTGCGGGCCAGGGCCAGGGCTGGGATGCACTTGGGGTTGTTAGTTGACCGGTTGAGTTTTCTTCTCCCCTTGGGCAGCAATGGGGACTCTGCTCCTCCCCTCCCCAGCAGCCGCCGATCTTGTGCCTCCCATCACCTGGATAAATGCTTATTCACTTCTGCTTTGCCGGGTTGAGGGGGGCTGAGAGGGGATCTGACCCTCTCAGGGCTGTGCTGGGGTTCTATGGGTCTTGCCGGGGGGCAGTGAGAGGGACACCAGCAGTGGAAGCACTGGGGATCCCAGCAGATTCTCCCAACTCACCCAGGGGCAGCAGCAAAAGGATTGGAAAGGAACGAAGAGAAGGTGTCGCTCTGCCCCTCGGGGCCAGCGGGCAGGCAGGGTTTCCCCTGGGATCGCACCGACAAGAGAAAACTCTCCCTGCCTTGCAACTCCAAAAATCAGGTGTTTAGGGAAGATTTCGGGATAATATTCCCATGTGGCTCCTGAGCTGCCTGCTGGCACAGACACGGCACAGATGTGGTACAGATGTGGTACAGACAGGGTACTGACAGCATCGCTGCAGAGAGCTGGAGCAGCTCCCTTCCTCTAACAGCCCCCCGGGATGCCCATGGGCTTGTGGTGGCAGGGTCCGGGCAGGGGAGCGGGCTTTGATAGGAGCAAGGGAGCTCCTGGAACAAGGATCCAGTTGGAAATGCCTCTGGCAGGACAAAGGTGCCATTCACGGGTGCTCCCAGGGCCGGGTGCTCGCTCCCAAGGTGAAGCCAGGGCTCTCCTGGCTCCATGAACAAACCAGCATCACCCCTCATCCTGAGATAAATGAGCCTGGAAGGAGGTGGCGGATCGCAGCCATCCTGTCTGGTTTCATTTCCAGGAACACCAGGATTCGGTCTCCGGGACTGGAGTCTCTTCCCCCCCAAACACCCCGTCAGGATAACAGAGATTCCTTTGCAAAGCCGCTCCTGTGGAGTCCTGTGCAAACCTCAGGGCTGGGGCCAGGCTGTGCAGGCTGAATGGTGCTTTTGTGCGCGGTGCTGCGGGCAGCGAGCCAGCCCCGAGCAGGCAGGAGGGAGCCCACGGAGGGGCTCGGGGTCCCCGTTCCATAGGTTCCATAGCAGGGCACCCAAATCCTACCGGTGATCTTAGAAATCCCAGTGCTGGGCCTGAGCCCCGGGCTGAGAGGGGCCATCACCCCATCGAGACCCCGCACTGCTGGGGCAGGAGGGAGCTGTGAAGGGATAGAAACCGGGCAGGGGATGGGGAGCTGCTTGTGCCTCTGTGGGGCAGATTCCCTGGAGTTCTCCATCCGTTTCCTTGCTGAGGGCACAGCCAGGCAGCTGGGGCACACCTCGGATGCCTTGGGGTGCTCGTTCCATCCCAGCTCGCCGGAGATGGGTCCCCATCGAGCTCTGCGCGCTGGGCTCCCTCCGACCCCAGCGTCTCCTGGGGTCGGTCTGATCCTTCCTGACGGGGGTCCCATCCCTTTTTCCCCTTAGCGAGGGCCTCCGGGAGAGCCCGGCCCGCGAGGCCCCCCCGGTCCCCCAGGAGTGCCGGGAGCAGATGGCGTTGATGTGAGTACGGCCGGGAACCTGTGCAGGCTGGAGGGAGGGAAGGAGGGGACCTGCAGCACAAAGAGGGACATTGTGTCAGGCAGAGGCGCTGTGGAGGGCAGGGAATGCCGGTGCCGTGCGGTTCCTGCGCTGAGCTGCTCCTGGGCTGGGGCACATGGAGCATCCCTGGTGTTGCTGGTGGCCTGGGTGGCAATACTGGCATGGGGGAGCCCAGCTCCTGCACCGTGGCTCCATCCACCTCCCTGGGACAGCAGCCTGTGGCTTCCTGACCACCTCTGGAAACGGGGCCTGGAATGGCTTTTGGGAGCAGAGCGCAGGGAGGTTTGGGTGCAGGATGCTCAGGGCACCCCTGTGTGAGCAGCAGAGGATGCTTGGGGAGCCTGGGTGAAGGGCTCAGCCCATTGAGGAGCTGGAGCTGGGGGGCTGATGGGGATCAGGACTCCCAGGTTGGGTGTCCACAGAGCGGACCTATGGCCAAGGGCCGTGGCAGGGGGCCGTGGCTCCAGATCCTGCCCAGAGGCTCAACAGAGGGATCTGTGAGCAGCAGAAAGGGCCCTTTCTTGCCCCAGGCTGTTATTTTAGTGCTATTTCCACCCGGAGCAGCCGCAGCCCTCCCTGCACCCAGCGCAGCCCTCGCCTCTACACACCAGCCCCATCCGGATGTGGCTCCTGGGCTGAGGGTTCCAGTGTGGGAAAGGGGATTGGGGATGCGGGTCCCAGCCCCCTGCGCTGCCTGGTCAGGCTCTGTGGGGTAACGGACCCTTTACAACCTTCATCCCTTTCCCCAGGGTGACAAAGGCTCTGCCGGAGCCCCGGGGTCCCTGGTAAGTATCCCCCCCCCCCCCCCCAAGTCATTGACGGTCTCTCCCTGCCTGGAGGAGCATCTTTCAATCTGCCCCTTGCCTCTTCTCTTTTAAAGGGTGTCAAGGGGGAGCCTGGAGCCCCTGGTCCAGATGGGCCCGCAGGGAAGCCAGGCATCGATGTGAGTACAGCCCCCGTGTCCCCCCTGGGTTGCAGCAGGGTCTCAGCAAACTCCTCTTCCTCCCTGCATGAGCATCCTTTTATGTCACATATAAGAAAAAGCCCCAATCCCTTTGTGCAGGAGCTGGAAGCACCTTTTGAGTCACAGCAGGAAATGCAGGTAGAGCTGGGGCAGGGCTGCTGCCTCCCTCCTGCACTGCCCAGCTCCAAAAGCACATCCCCCTCCATCCCACATGGGCAGGAGCCGTGCCAGGAAAGGCACGGCACCAACACCCCAACATGGAAAGGCTTTTCCTTGTCCTGCACTGCAGCCACTGCCCTGAGCCCTGGTTCAGCTCTCCTTTCCTCCAGAACAAACCTGGAGCAATCCCGTGCCCCAGAGCCACCCCCTTGGTTTCAGAGTCCTTGGGGTTTTGGTTGTTCTTCAATAATAAATGAATAGAATAATAACTGTTATTATAAGCATGCATTATTCATCAGGCTGAGCTGCCTGGGAGAGCTTGGCTCCTTTGAACACTGAGCCGAGCCAGGGGCTCTCTGGGGATCAGCCCCTGGGTGATGCTCAAGCCAGCATCCAAACCCCAGCACGAGCAGGGGCTGGGGGGCAGAGGCCTGCAGTGACCTCCCGCTGTCTCTCCTCCTGCAGGGCCTGACGGGAGCCAAAGGGGAGCCAGGACCCATCGGCGGGCCAGGAGTTAAAGTGAGTGAGGAGCTGCTGCAGGGCTGTGCCCCAGGCTCCCACCTTTCCCCATGGATCCAGTGGGGCTTGGCCGGGCTGGGACCAGCCCCACACTGTGGAGGGGATGCACAGATGCAGGAACTGGGTGATGGAGCATTTGGCAATGAAGGGGCACTGAGGCTGGGTCCGGGGAGGGGTGGATTTTGGACGCTGAGATAGCAGTGGAGCTCGGGAGCACTGAGAGGAGCAGCGGAGCAGTGGGGCTCGGCAGGGCTACCCCCTCCTGTTTCAGCTCCTGACTCTCCCCTTTTGTCCCTGTAGGGCCAGCCCGGACTTCCAGGGCCACCGGGGCTCCCCGTGAGTATCCATCTCTCCTGTGGGCACCAGTGATGCTTCCACTCCTGGCTCCGGCAACCATGAGTGGGGTGGGAGCGGAGCAGGCATCCAGCCCTCCTGCTGCATCCTTGCTGGCAGGGTGGGCATTGCCCTGCTCAGGGCAGGGATGCTGCTGGGTTTGGGGGGGGTGGAGGTTTGGACCAACTCTTTCTTTTTGTTTCAGGGTCCTTCACTGCCAGGACCACCGGTAAGTGCTGCTTGTGTGGGGCTGGGGCACACAGGATTCTGCTTGGAGTTGCACTGGAAGAGCTCAGGTCTCAGCACCCCACAGCAGGAGGCTTGGTTCTCAATCTCTGTAACTCAATGAACTCCTGTCTTCTCTTTAAGGGGCTTCCAGGCCAGGTTGGGCTGCCAGGAGAGATCGGAGCACTGGGACCCAAGGTAGGGGGCAGGAGGGGGCACAGGAAAACCTTAAAACTCCCATCTTGGCATCAGCATCCACTTCCCTGCACTGCTGGGCTCCTGGCATACACAGGGGTGACCCTGTAATGTGGGGGAGGGGGATCCTACAGTGGGAATAGAGGGTGATGGAGCAGCCAAGTCCATTGGTGCCACCCATTTGCTCCCAGCTCACAGCCAGGGGATGCCCCAGTTCCCACTGTGGGTCTCTGGTGCTCCATCACCCTCTCCATCGGTACCTGCCGCCTCCCACCCCTCCATCTCCTCACTTGGGCTTGTTCTTTCCCAGGGTGACCCCGGACCCGACGGCCCGAGGGGCCCCCCAGGCCCTCCAGGGAAACCCGTGAGTACCTCCCCAGTCACCAGCATTGGCTGCAGGGGGAGAAGCTTCCACCTGGGCCCGGGGCTGGGACTGGGCTCCGCACACACCTCCCCGTGCCCCCTCCGTCCAGGCAGAGCATTCGCTGCAGCACAGCGCTGCTGTTACACCGGCGGTGCTGACCGTCTCCTTCCCTCCAGGGCCCCCCGGGACACATCCAAGGAGTGGAAGGCAGCGCTGACTTCTTGGTGAGAGCTGCCATTACCTTGTCCCTGCGCAGGGTAGTGGCTGCTGGGAAAGCCCTGGCCCGAAATGCAGCCACCAGTGGCACGGGGTAACGGGGCTGATGGGGCAGGAGGAGCAGGGTCCCCAGCCAAGGCCATGCTGCGAGCGGAGGGTCCCCTGTGCCAGCGCACAGCCTGGCTGCGGCGCAGGAGCCCGTCCTTCCAGCTCCCCTCTGCGAGCTCTGGGGCCTTTCCCAACCCAACTGTGCTGCTTCTTCCCACCAGTGCCCAACCAGCTGCCCACCAGGACCTAAAGGCCCCCAGGGACTGCAGGGACTGAAGGTAAGGGAGCCCTGGAGGTGCCAGGGAGTGAGCAAGGACCTCCTGTGTGCTGAGCAGAGCCTGCCCTGCTCTGGGGCATGGGAAGCTCGGGAGCTGCCCTGGGAACACAAGGACAGGCACACAGAGCCCTGCAGCAAAGGTGCTATGGGAGAGGTCCCCTGCAGCTCCCCAGTTCCACCCAGCCCCTTCATTTGGCCCCTGCCAAAGCCCCAGCCATGCAGCTCCCTGTGCTGGAAAACCAGAGCATTAAATCCAGTGAGCAGCCCCACTGCATGCCCTTGGCTGTGGGATGCTGAGCCCCACCATGTCACCAGCGGGCACCCCAGGGTGGGGTATCCTGGGCACCGTGGCTCCGGGTGATGGGGCCATCAAGGCGCTGCCTCAACCCTGCTGCTCTGCCCAGGGATGCTCATGATCTTCCTCTTCATCCTTAGGGTCACAGAGGCCGCCCCGGTGCCCTTGGGGAGCCTGGCAGGCAGGGCGGGCAGGTGAGAGACCTCTCTGGCAGCTTCCCAGCAGGAACCAGGAATGCCTGCCTCTGGGAATGCTGGGCTGGACCAGAGGGCAGGAGCTCTGGGGAGAGAAAGGGGGAAAGAAGGAAAGTGGTGGGAGAGGGAGGAGGGAGATCGGGGCTGGGACATGGAGGGCAGACAGGGTGATCTTCCCATGGTGTCTTCCTGGATGGGGACACCCTAATGGGTCCCAGTCAAGGGGGCTGTGAGTGCCCAGGGTGGTTTGTATCCCTGCTGCACCCCAACACTGACCTTTCTCCATTCCTTGCCAGGGCCCCAAGGGTGATGTTGGTATCTCTGGAGAACAAGGAGTCCCAGGGCCCCCGGTAACATCCTTCTCTTTGCAGCTCTACTTGGTTTGTGCTTGGCCCCAGACATGGGGGGGGTCCTGAGGATCCCCTGCTTCATCCCATCCATCTCCCTCCTCCCAGCCATGGAGCTGCTACCAAGAGGGTGGCAAAGCCACATCCCAATGGAGGCCCCCACAGTCAGCACACATTCACATGGATAACTCGACATCCAGGGATAAATCTCTCCTGTACACTGAGCCCTTACCCCTCCTGATTGGGGGTACCCCATCCAGCTCACTGCAGGGATGCGGGGATTAAAGCTGTTTGCTCACACTGAGCACTTTGAAGAGGAAAAGCAATTAATGGCCTGCACCCTCTGCTCTGGGAAAGGGCAAAACTGCTTTGAAGCCAAGAGCTTTGGCAGGGGAATTGGCACCGGTTTGGTCCCACTGCCATCATCGAAGTGACAACTGGAAAGGTGCCTGCTGGGGGGCTATGGAATGAGGGGGCTGAAAGACCTCAAACACCTCCAAACCCGCTGGTTTCCAGGACTGCTTCTGCTCTAATTGCACCTTCCCCCAGGCTGCTCCTGGGGCCGTTCCCAGCTAAACTGGCTGCTGTTTCCTTCCCACAGGGACCGCAGGGCTTGAGGGGTTACCCGGGCATGGCAGGACCCAAGGGTGAGGCGGTAAGTGCTGGCTCCGGGGTCAGGGCACCCAGCTCCCCTGGCCGTGCTTCCCAGGAACATCACCAATGCTGCTTGGCCACCTCGGGGAGCTGGATGCTGTGTCTGCCCAGTGGGATCAGACCCGACTGGGCTCCGAGCCTGGGATGAGAGGAATCGATCCCCTTGTGCTCTCTTTGAAGGGTCCTGCTGGATACAAGGGGATGGTTGGGACCATCGGCGCGGCCGGGCGGCCGGTGAGTGCCCTCCCTTGTCACCAGGGGCCGTGGGGCAGGCAAGGATCCCCACACTTTGCTGCTCAGCCCTCGTCTTTCTCCCTTGCAGGGTAGGGAAGGCCCCAAGGGACCACCCGGGGACCCTGGTGAGAAGGGAGAGCTGGTAGGTATCCCATCACAGCCCGTGCGATGCCAATGCCCCTTCTCCCTGGCATGGAGAGGGGCCCTCGATGAGCAGCTCCTCCCTCTCCCAGCTCCAGCGCCTGCCCCAAGAGGGCGGCTGAAGTGACACTTTGCTCCCTCCTGCTCTAGGGTGGCCGAGGTATCAGGGGCCCCCAGGGAGACATTGGCCCCAAGGGGGAGAATGTAAGTACAGCCGGTGGCACCCGTGCCCACATCTAGGGCTGAACCCCTAGCAAAGGGAGCTCCGTCCTGTTCAGGGCTATCCCGTGTCCTTGCACCCTGGCTCAGTACAAGCCTGGAGCTCTCCTTTCCCTTCCCATCCTTTTTTTGCCCCCACCACAAGCCTTTGAGTCCCCCTCGGAGGTGTCAGACCCAGCAACTCCTCCCCCTTTTGCAGGGTCTCCCAGGCATCGATGGCAAAGACGGGACCCCGGGTATCCCAGGAGTGAAGGTGAGACAGCAGGGCCTGCGCTGGCCATGGGGAATGGACACAGTCATAGAATGGCTTGTGCTGGAAAGGACCTTAAAGCCCATCCAGTTCCAGCCCCTTGCCACGGGCAGGGACACCTTCCACTGGAGCAGGTTGCTGCCCCTTGTACCAGTGCTTGCTAGAAGTAACAGGAATGGCGAGCGGCATCCCAGCCCTTGATGCGGCATCTCCTGGCCAGCGAACCTCATCCCCACAGGGTCAAGGGCAGTGCCCCACCTCGGCCAGGAGCCCCTGTCCCACCCACGGACACCTCATTGCTGCGCCTTTCTCTGCCATGCAGTAACATCCTGTGTCCCCCACAGGGCAGCGCGGGACAGGCCGGACAACCGGGAATACCGGGACACCGGGGACAAGCTGTGAGTAGGGGACGGCGGGACCCAAGGCAGATCTCCATTACCGTGGGGTGCCACCCCCATGCCCAGGCAGTGCTGGCACCCACAGGGATGCTGCCCCCATTGCTCTGCAAGGGGTTTGATCCTGGCTTTGTCTCCACAGGGCTTGCCAGGCCAGCCGGGAAGCAAAGGGGGCCCAGGAGACAAGGTGGGTCTGGGGTAGCAGAGCTGGAGTAAACCCCTTGGAGCACCCATGCTGCAGCCCCACTTGCCCTACATGGTGCACTCTGACCACCTCTGTCTGCCTTCACAGGGTGAAGTGGGTGCTCGGGGCCAGCCCGGTGTCACCGGTGCCCCGGGGCAGATGGTAAGTACAGAGATGTCACCGTGTTCCCCCTGGCACAGCCCGGGGTCTCTCTCCTCCTCTCTCCTGTTCTATTTTCCCCATTTGCTGTCAAACAAAGCAGAGTTGGGCACTTTATCCCCCAGCCCTCCTCTTCCCCCTGCCCCACAGCAGTACCCTCATGGGGAACCCCCTGGGGCCATATCCCCAGTACCCTGGTCCAGCACCTCCTTGGCCATGCAGTGCAGTGGGAGCCAGGAGCACATCCCTGGGGCAGGACGAGGGGCAGGTGATGATGTGCAAGAGCAGCAGCTCCTCTGGGACTTTTCTTTCTCCCTCCTAGGGTGAGCTTGGACCTCGCGGTGAGCAGGGACCTCCAGGTGTCCCCGGGGTGAAGGTGAGTCCCTGGGGCACTGTGGGGATGGGGACAGTGCCAGGAGCTGCCCCTGACTCTGCTCCCTTCCTGGTTCTCCGCAGGGTGATCGTGGAGAACGTGGCCCCGTGGGTCCCGCTGGGGAGCAGGGGAAAGCGGTGAGTCAAGGGCTTAAATTCCCATTGAACGGAAGGTGAAACAGTGGCAAGTGCACTGTCTCTTTCAATGGGAAGCTTCAGGGCAGGTTGGGAACTGTGGGGCAGCCAGAGCTGCTGGAGGGGATGGGGAGCTGCCCAGGCATCTCATTCCCTTGGGAAGGATGCTCTGATGGGAGAGGGGGTCTGCCCCCCACCTCTTTTCACTCATTTTTCTCTTTTTCCTGTGTTACCCTCACTTCCAGGGGCCAAAGGGCGAGCAGGGTCCACCGGGGATCCCAGGGCCCCAGGGCTTGCCAGGAGTCAAAGGAGACAAAGTGAGTGCTGACTGCAGGGGCCGGGCTGCCCTGGGCTCCAGCTCAGGGACACTGCATTGACCCCCCCCCTTCTCCTTTGTCCAGGGCTCCCCAGGGAAAATCGGCCCCAAAGGCAGCACTGTGAGTACAGCACCCTCCTGCCCGGGGTGTGTGGGGGGTGTCACTGACACCCTGTTGGGCAGGGCTGGCACCCACCAGCACCAGGAGCTTTCTCCAACAATAGCCCAGTGTCCTGATCAAGTTCTTGGTGGAAGGAGGGATGAAAGCAGCTGCGGAGGAGGTGGGTGCTGATGGTGAAGGTTCACATTTCCCCATTGCCTTTCCTGCAGGGAGATCCTGGTGTTCATGGACTTGCAGGACTGAAGGGAGAGAAGGTGGGTTCCTACAGGTGGTTCCTGGATGTGGGTCTCCTGCCCAACATGGCCCCTGACACACCAGCATCGCACCCCAGTGTGCTCCATGGGGTGCCCATATCTCCCCCAGGCTGTGTCTCTAAATTCATGCTGTCTCCCCATCTCATTCCTTGTGTTCTGTCCCTAGGGAGAATCAGGAGAGCCAGGACCAAAGGGACAGGTGAGAGATGGGGACTTGGGACCAACCTGTACCTTCCTGCTGGGTGGCTCTGCGGGACCCTCAGTGGAGAAGATCCTCCTGATGAAGGCAGCAGTGATCCACGGAGCTGGTGCATGCTGCACACTGGTGGCCTGAGGAAGTATTTGCTCTGGAGACGGGCTTCAGTAACCGCGTTCAGCCCTGGATTCAAGTTCAGACCCTGCCTGGGGCCAGATCCCGGCTGCGCTGGTTGATGCTGGGAGCGTTCAGGGTCTTGGCACAGGGCCGGGCTCAGCTCCTGATGCCTCTCTCCATCCCCCCTGCAGCAAGGCATCCAGGGAGAGCTGGGCTTCCCCGGCCCCACAGGGGACGCTGGTGCCCCCGGTGCCCAGGGCTACCCGGGCCCCCCCGGGCCACGAGGACTCATCGGGGAGCGCGGGGTGCCCGGGATGCCCGGCCAGCGCGGAGTGGCGGTGAGTACCCCAGTACACACAGTACCTCAGTATCCAGGTACCCCAGTACTGCAGTACACACAGTACCGCAGTACACACAGTACCGCAGTACACACAGTACCGCAGTACCCTACTACCACAGTACACGCAGTACCCCAGGACTGCAGCAAACAGTGCACACAGTACCCCAGTACACACAGTACCTCAGTATCCAGGTACCCCAGTACTGCAGTACACACAGTACCCCAGTACACACAGTACCGCAGTACCCCACTACCACAGTACACGCAGTACCCCAGGACTGCAGCAAACAGTGCACACAGTACCCCAGTACACACAGTACCTCAGTATCCAGGTACCCCAGTACTGCAGTACACACAGTACCCCAGTACACACAGTACCGCAGTACCCCACTACCACAGTACACGCAGTACCCCAGGACTGCAGCAAACAGTGCACACAGTACCCCAGTACACACAGTACCTCAGTATCCAGGTACCCCAGTACTGCAGTACACACAGTACCCCAGTACACACAGTACCGCAGTACCCCACTACCACAGTACACGCAGTACCCCAGGACTGCAGCAAACAGTGCACACAGTACCCCAGTACACACAGTACCTCAGTATCCAGGTACCCCAGTACTGCAGTACACACAGTACCCCAATACCACTGTAGACACAGTACCCCAGTACCCCACTACCACAGTACACACAGTACCCCAGGACTGCAGCAAACAGTGCACACAATACCCCAGTACTGCAGTACACACAGTACCCCAGTACCCCAATACTCTGGTACCACAGTACATACAGCCAGCCCCTCCTTACCTACCCCACCGTGCCGTGCTGCCACCGACCTGCAGGGAAACTGCCCCGACCCTTCCTTACTAACTTGTTGCTCTGGGAAACTGCTGTTCTGGTCAGGAGCAGAGCTGCTCCATGAGCAGTCCAGGAGGGCTGAGGGCTGAGCCCAGCACCTAAAGGGGATTAAAAAGAACCTGGAGAGGGGCTTTGGACAAGGGGAATGGCTTTAACCTGCCGGAGGGGAGACTGAGATGAGCTCTTAGGCAGAAGCTCTTCCCTGGGAGGGTGCTGAGGTGCTGGGGGATGGAATTTTTCTGTATAAGCCTCATTTTAGACTTGCAAAATGGGGCTGCAGAAAGTTGACACCATGAGCAAGCTGCACCATGAGCTGAGGCTGGAGCACATGCACTGGGACCAAATGGAAAGTAAAGAAGGGTGGGAACACCATTGGGTGCAGGGAGGTGTTGTGGACCGGGATGGCACCAGCTTTGTGGGTACAGATGGTGACAGGAGCAAACTTCCTCTATGGCATGTGCCTCTTCTCGCTGCTGGCAGGGCCGGGATGCTGGGGACCAGCACATCATCGACGTGGTCCTGAAGATGCTGCAAGGTGAGGGGGTGAGAGGGGCACTGCCAGCTGGGTGCTGCCGCCCCATCCCGCCCCACATCGGCCTCTCTCTGCCCTACAGAGCAGCTGGCAGAGGTGGCTGTCAGCGCCAAGAGAGCCGCCCTGGGAGGAGTGGGTGCCATGGGACCCCCCGGGCCTCCTGGTCCTCCGGGGCCACCCGGTGAGCAGGGTCCACACGGACCCATGGGACCTCGAGGTGTCCCCGGCATCCTGGGTGCTGCTGGGCAGATCGGCAACATAGGACCTAAAGGTAGGTGGCGGGTGGCCATACCCACACCGTGCCGGGCAGAAATCCCCCGCGGGGCTCCTGCCGCCCTCGTGCGCCAGTTCAGTCCCCGCGCAGGGGCAGCCCCTTCCCCTGCCAGGTCCGTGTTTCCTGCCGCAGCTCCAGTCCTTCCCTTCCTCTTTCTTTCCCGCAGGGAAGCGAGGCGAGAAGGGGGAGCGGGGAGAAGCTGGCCGCGGCCACCCAGGCATGCCGGGCCCCCCGGGCATCCCAGGTAAGCCCCTGCGCCCCGCTCGGACAGGGCGGGCAGCAGCATCCCTTGTGCCCCTTCAGCAGGGCGCTGGCAGCCGCGGGCTCGGGATTCCCTGCCCCATCCCTGCAAACGGGTCCATCCCCCACGTCCCCCGCCTGGAGCAGCCCCCGCTCCCCGCCTGACGCCCGCGCACCCCTTGCTCTCGCTTCCCACGCCCCGTGCCCGGCTCTGCCCCGGGCTCGCAGCGCGCCGACGGCCGCTCCCGTTGCAGGTCCCCCCGGCAGCCCGGGCCACGCTGTGGATGGGAGGCCGGGCGAGCGGGGCGCGCCGGGCTCCCCGGGCCTCGCGGGCCGGCCGGGCCTCCCCGGCCCCACCGGGCTGCCCGGGTTCTGCGAGCCGGCCGCCTGCCTCGGGGCCTCGGCCTACGCGGGTGCGCGCATGGCGGAGCCGGGCGCCGTCAAGGGCCCCGCGTACTGAGGAGGCACCGGCGCCGTGACGGACCTGGGCAGCAAACCCGCGCCGGGGCTGGCAGCGGCGACCGGGACACTGCGGACCCGTAGGGACGGCCCCTGCCCGGCCCGGCTGCGGGAGCGCTGGGGTCGGGGTCGGGGCCGCGCCGGAGGGGAGCCGCAGCCCCGGGAATTTACCTGGAGCAGGTCCGGGGGGGGACAGGGAGGAGTAACGAGAGGGCACCCCGCGTCCGTCCGCATCAACGGGCTCCGTTACCTGCCCCCTCTGCCCGTCCTCCGTTCCCCGTGCCCCTTCCCAGAGAAATAAATCGGCTTTTCTACAACCCCTCTCACTGTTCTGTCCTGTCCTGCTCGGTGCTGCACCGGCTCATTGCCTGCTCCTTCCCCCCCCCATTCTTTTCTTTGTTAAACAAAACATTGTGGTTTGATTATTTAAGAGACTCACCCGAACCAGCCTTGTCCCCGCAGGGCACTCGCAGAGCTGTAAATCTTTGTAAAATAGGATTATTTTGTAACTATGAAGAGAAAACCACCAACTTTGTACAACTGGACAATAAAACTGGGATGGATTGTTAATGAACTGAAATGACGCGTTGAGTCCTTTCAATCAAACCAAGGCTATGCTGGTGGGGGGTTATTATTTGAGGGCTGAAGCTGGTTTTCCTGTTGTTTCAAGCCCCTCGTTGGGTGTCTCAATTGCTCATTCCCATCCCTGGGGACAATTTTAGCCTCTCAGAAGTTTCTTTAGCAAAACCTCTTCCTTTTCTCACCCTCTTGCAGCAGTGCAAAGGGGATTTGCCACACCTGATCCCCCCACCATGTTGGAGATGGAGCAAATTTGCCAGCAATGCACCGAGTACCTTCAAATGAGGCCAAGTGAACCTGATTCCCCTCGCAATCAAGTAGCCAGAAAGCTATTAACAGCGTTGCAGCTGGTATTGATCTCTTAATAGTTAAAAAGGAGGCCTGTGGCTCCAGGAGGATCCGCAGGTGTCTCTCATTACTGCCATCGACAGCAGCAAGGATTAAAGCTGTGCAGCGGGAGCAACGGGGCCTCGCTTTGTAACATAAATAGAAATCAATTCAGGTTTATTAGCAAAGCATGTTGGGTTTGGCAGCAGAACAGGTCCTGGTGGGAAAGGCTGGTGGATCCCTCCTGCGGCACTGAGCATCACCACCTCCACCAGGGACATGGCAAAGCATGGCCAAACCAGGGCTCAGGCTGCTTTGGCAGTAGGGGGCTAATCCTGGCAGGGAGGAGGCCCAAGCCCCAGTACTGCTCCCTCCCCCTACACTGGGTATCAGCCATTTTTCCATATGGATCCTTAGTTTTCCCCATGTCTCCAGACTCCCCAGAAGGGCCCTGCACTTGTTACCCACTTAAATTACCTTCTCTGTGCCCTTTGCAGACCTCTGCCTTGCACTTAACGTGCAATCAGCCAACTTTAAGGGGCCTGTCCTAACACAAAAATGGAAGGCACTTGCAAATGTTGTATTTGCAAGCTGGGATTCAATCAGGGAATTGAGGTGGTTGCATATTAATTACAGGCCAGACTCTGGTTGTTTCCAACGAGTGGCAAATGCGCTCCGAATCTGCCTCTTCATCAGAGACCTTATAAATATTCATCCCATAAACAGCAGCTTGAATGCCGTTAGAGACAAGAGGGATTGAAACCCAAGTATCTGTGGAAATGAAACAGCTGGAAAACATCCAATCCCTGCCCCAAACAACAACAAATCATTATTAGGAGAGGTGAAGAAATAGCCTTGTTGAGCACTTGTCTGCATTCGTGGGCAAGTGAGGAGATTCGTCCTGATTCTAGTCAGGGAGGAATTCAGGTTAGCAAACGCTTTCTGGGACAGCCCTAGGCTGAGGCGGTCGCGGCTCCAGCTGTGCAGCACATCTGGGGCCGCAGCACGAAGCCGCTTCAGCTCGTTTGAGCTTTCCCCCACGAGAGGGAGCTGCCTGCCCGCGAATTCCCCCTTCCCAGGGCGCACACGAACAGAGCGGGTTGGGGGGGCTTGGAGCGAGCTGCTCTGATGGAGGTGGCCGTGGCCGTGGCCGGGGTTGGAGCTGGAGGAGCTTTAAGGTCCCTTCAACCCAAACCAGGCTGTGGCTCTGTGAAGAGGGTGACCCCCCCTCACTCAACCCCTTCCCACCTCCAGGATGAACACGGCAGGAGCACCCTGGCAGAAGGGAACCGGGGGGCAGGGGTTTCCTGCAGGGACAATGGCGCAGTGAGGGTCCAAGGGTTGAGAACTGAGCTGTGCTCCTGGAGCAGGGATTGGGCACTTCCCATGGAAAGAGCAAGGGCTGCCAGAGGCAGGGAAAGTGCCACTATGCCCATGGGGGGTCCTGGGCTGCTCGGGAGGATGGATGCAGGGTCCTCTGCAAGAAGCCCAGGGACTCCTCACTGTTGCATCCAAGTGTGCACATGCCCAGGAGGGCTGGATGGGATGGAGCAAGCTCTTCAGCGCTGTCAGGGACACGGCTATTGCTGCCCCTGCTGCTGTTCAGTGCTAATTGCAGCAGTGGCCAAGCTCTCCCTTAGCAGCTTTGACCTTCAGCGGCTCCCCAGTGCAGCCAGGAGATGCAGCAGGACCAGCACAGCTACAGCCAGGCTCTGTGCAGCTTCAAGGACAGTGCCTGGGCAGATTAAGAAGATCAGGGTTTAATTAAAGTGCCAAGGAAGCAGCTGTCTGGAGCTTTTGCTCTTTTCTTTCCCACCTGCTTTTCCCTGAATTGGATATTGTGGGTCTCCTGTGGCTGGGGCCTCAGGGAGCAGGCTCAGGTCCTCATCACCTTGCCTGTCCCACCATGACCAGCAAAGGGCCTAGGGGCTTCTGATCTGCAGCTCAATCTGTTCACTATCCCCAGACGTGCAAGCACCAGGGACCAGGTTACAGCCAGTCATGACTTACTTTCACTATAGAATAATGTGTGGAATCATCTGCAATTATTCCAAGGGGTTTAAGAACCTGATCCCAAGCTTGTCCCTGCAGCTACAAGGACTCCAGGAACTCGGAGTCAAGCAGCATCACCTGCCTTTCATGGGATGAGAAAGACAAAAGAAACAAAAGGAAATCAAGGCAGATCCTTTTAGGTCACAGCAATTGTCCCACCAAACCTGCCAACCCCTGTAAGGTCACAGCTTTCCTTCTCCTCTGGGGCAAATAAAGTCCAATTCCTGCAGTGTGGAATAATGAGGGTGCCTCTGATTATTGCCATCCCAGGCTGGTGAGGGCAGCAGTGCTGGCTGCAGTTTGCATTTGGAGAGAGGAGGCATTGCCTCCTGCTTGCTCATCTACGGTCACCCACCAGCATCATCTCACATCCCACCAGGGTGACATTTCTGAGGCGCAGGGGCCACCGTAGGTGCCCGTGGCATGAATAATTCAGGCAATGAGAGAAAAGTTTCCTTGAGCAAACTAATGCATTGATTAGACCAAATTGCTTCCCTTGCCCTCGAGGAGCTAGAAACGAGCTCATCACCGTTTGTTCTCTCTTGATAGGTGATTAACCACATGCGAATATAAAACAGAGCACTTGGGGCACGTAAATTAACAGCTGAGAACTAAGTTAATTATTGGAGGCGCCATAAACCTGCTTATTTTTATTCTTGGGTTATTGCTCGATGTTTTTGCCTCTTAAAAAGAGGGAATTACTTTGAAAATGGCTTGTTCTCTGCTGCTCCTGAGCAGGAATACCGGATACAGCTGGGGCACGCAGGGTAAATATGCTCCATCAGCAATAAATATACAGGGGAAATAAATCTCCCCTCTCCTGCAGGGAATGATGCTAGCAGCCTTATCCGTGCCCCAAGGCAGGACAAGCAGGATGCCCAAGGGCCATGCAGGCAGCTGGAGGAGCTGATCCCGCTTCTCCAAGGAAAAGGTTAAATTTGGACACTGACTGTACCCAAAGCAGCAATGAGGTTGTACCAGAGCAGGGACACAGCAATACGGTGTTGCAGGGAATTGACTTTGTTAATAGCCCATTCATTTAAATGTAAATGCTGAGCCTGGCTGGTATAATGAGGCTGGGAAATCTTTATTAGAGAGCAAAGCCAAGGTTTATGGGTGAGCGTGTGCAGCAGTGGGGCTGAATGTGAGACGGGCTGCAGGGCAGGAGTGTGCTGCATGGGGGGGCTCACACCAGGCAGAGAGCTAACACACTTCATAGAATCACTATGGTTTGGGTTGGAAAGGACGTGAAGATCATCCAGTTCCAACCCCCTCACACTGGGCAGGGATCTGGGGTTAGAGGGATGCTGGAGGCGAGATGTGAGGGGTTGCCTCCTGCCCCTGCTTTTGCTCTGTGCCTGTCCCACGGCTGATGCCGGTGTCTGGAGCAGGTGGGGAAGGAAGGTCACAAAGGGTTGTGGTCTCGGGCAAGGTCACCCAGCCTTCAAGGGGTGCACGTCCCTCAAGTCCTCCCTGGGGATTGGGGCTGGAAACAGCCCCCAGGCAGATGTTGCTGCAGGAAGCTCCTCGCAAGCAGCCCCGTTCCTCTCCAGCTCCAGTGAATGGTGCCCATGGTGGCACTGGGCCACCAGCGCAGCGAGTGCTGTCCAGAGAGCTCACTCCCCGTCAGAGGGGTCCTGCCCCGGCGCTCCCACACCCGGCACAGGGGGAAGGAGCTGACAAAAGGCCGATTTAATTACTGGAATTGTTCTGATTACAGCCTGCAAACACTGTTATCTTGTAATTATTGCCAAGAACATGCCATTAGTGCATGATTAAACACAACGTCTTGTGGGCTGCTAGCTGATTGTCTGATGCCTTATGAACTTAATTACCTCACGCAGATAGAAAGCGACTGGGAGGAGGGAGCATGGCAATGGCTTGGGAGGGGAGCTGGGGCACCCCACAATAAGGGGACCTTCAGCTCCCTTGCCTGATGCTCAGCTCATGCTCTCAGGTGTACTCATGATCCCAGCCCTTAAACAGCCCCTGCAAGCCTCAGCCCTTTTCTTGCTGTTAGACGCCACCTATCCTGTTTTAAAGTTCATCGTCCTGAAGCAGGCAGCAAACACAGGGCACCACCTTTCTGCCCATGTCT